CACACACACTCACCCCTCACCATCCCCCACACCCGCTCTCTAGAAAGAATCAGAAACTCCCTACAAGCCACTCTTCAGCCCCAGGCATGGGAAGCTCTGTAGCTGCTCACCAGGGGTTGCCAGGACAAGGGGGACAGGAGGGGTACAGACATGGAAGGCACTCCAGGAGGACGGGGTGTCCCGAGGATGGGGACCCTCCACATCCAGCCCTCCTCCCCTGGCTCCCACCTCCAGGGGTTTCTGGAATCCCATCAGGGAAGTCAGCAAAGCAGGAGCTCTGGATGGTGCAGGGTACGGCCAGCCAGTGCGCGCTGGGTTTATCTTTTGCTGTGGAAGCTTCCCCAGGTGACCCTAGCTTGCAGCGAGAGTTCACTGGATTCACTTTTCCAGGGGCATCGGTGTCTTAACGAGGTCCAGAGATCTCGTGGTAGGGGTCCAAGATAGCTATGGGACAGGGGAGAGTGCACCAGAGTTGGGATCAGAACCACCGGGCCCAGGCCGGTGAGGGACCCCTGACTTCCTGGGCACCTCTGGTCCCACTCACGCTTGTGGGCTGGGGCTCCCGGGTAGTAGCCATGAAACCACTCTGAAACCGGAAGGACCGCTCATGCCTGAGGCCTTGTTTAGACCCAGGGAGAAGCACCCAGTGCTCAGAAGGAAGGTAAGGGACCCCACAGGGTAGAGGATGGTCTGGGGAGGGGACATCACACCTCAGAAAGCAGCGCATTTCAGGCTGAGTGCGCCTGCCTTCACACGTTCTCTGGATGCCACGTGGCTTTCCGTCTCAGCAGCTGGCTGTGTGGCCTTCCGGGGTGTCGGCGTCCTCCTGCACGAGCCCCCATGTCAGGGCGTGCCGTGTGAGCACGTGCGACGCGGGCTGTGTGAGTCCTGGGGGAGGGGCCTGCTCACCGCCGCCCAGGGGCTCGTGCAACGGAGGCAAGTCCACAGAAAGGTCCCCACTCCTGCGCGCACGCACGTCCCCCTCGGGGTGGGCAGATCGTGGGCACGCTGGTGCTCCACAGCTTGCTGAGCGAAACTGGCCGGGAACGGGGCTGGGATCATAGGCTGTAGGGACGGAAGGGGCCGGGGGACGTCCTCTGCGCCCCTGCTCGAGAGACTGACTGAAGGCAGGGGGACGCCAGGTCCTACCCCAGGCATGGCACGGAGCGTGGCTGGGGGCGCCCTTGCAGTGCCCTCTGTCTGCCCCACTCCACTCTGCTGAGAAACGTCGCACTGTAGGCACCAGGCCCCACGGCAACCGGCGCCCGGCCGGCCCCTTGCACAGGTCTTACGGGTGTGGGTGGCCTCCCTCCCCGCGGCTCCCACCACGGCCGCTACTGTGTGATGGGGCCCCCGAGGGAAGCCAGCGTGGGTCCAGGCTCCTGCCGGGCGGTCTCGGCACAGACAGGAGGGCTGCTGTGTCCCCCGCGTGCGGACCCTAGTCAGGAGCCGTGGGGCCCTGCCTGGGCCAGGAAGCTGGAGACTCCGATCTCCCAGGTCTGGGGACTGGGCAAGGGCCATGGGGTTAGGAGAGCAGGGCTGGAAGGCTGCATGCCTCCAAAACTCAGAGGGAGGCCCTGGCTGGAGCAACAGAAATTCAGTTGGCCAAAGATGGGACAACATCAGAAACGGGAACTGTGAGATGCAATAGAGAGAGACTATGCAGAAGTCCCATGGGGAAGGGACATCAAATGGCAAGGGGTACGAGAGGAGGAGATTTAAGATCATAGCCCTACCCCAGGTAGTGGTAGCCCGGGAGAAGGGTGGCAGGTGAGGGCTTCCTGGGGAGGCCTGACCTCCAGCTGCAGGGCCTATGGGTACCAACTCGAGGAGAGGGAAATGAGGGGGTCACGGACACTGGGGGGGGTGAGGAGGGGGATGGGCCAAGTTGGCTAGACCCCTTCCAGGGGCCTCCCAGTCTAGTCTGCAGGATTCCCCAAACTGGCTGAGCCAGAGACTGAAGGCAGAGTGAGGAGGCCATCTAGCGGCGGGGGCCGGTGGGGAGGCGGGGGCGGGCCCGGGAGGCGCCTCCTGGGGGGTGGGGGCAGAAGACAGGCAGCCACCTGTCCTCAGCAGGGATGCTGGTGAGGGGTAGAGGGCTGGGCGGATGGAGGGGGGAGGGGAGGGAAGGAGGGAGGGACAGAAAGGTGGGCGGAGGAGTGGAAGGATGGTTGCAGATGACCACCAGAAAGAAGGGCAGAGCTCAGATGAATGAGAAACGGATCCTGAGTATCTGGGATGTCTGGCCAGGTCAGGCAGAGGCTAGGGTTTGGAACCTCTGACCTGCGTGGGGAGGGGTCCGAATCGTCTGGAGGGGGAAAGGCAAAGAGAGGGAGCCATCTGGTGTCTGGAGGTGGAGGACAGCAGTGTCTGGTGTCTGGGAAGTGGGGAGGGGGCAGGATGAACGGAAGGGGAAGTGGGGGGCTCACCGGCGCCCTTGCTTCTAGGCAATAAATGCAAACTGTAATTGAGTTTTGTCCAGACTTTTCCCCCCAACCCACAACAGGGAGCAAATGCTGGGAAATAAGGCATCAGGGGTTATATCAAGGTCCACACTTACTTCATTCTGGAGGACGGGCCGTCCTAGGGCAGGCAGCCCCTGGCAGGCTCTGGGGTGTCCTGGGCTGGCGGCGAGATGGAGGGGCATCCTGGGATGAGGAGGCCAGCAGGCCTGGGGACCCCCTGGTGGTCCCGAGTGAGGGCCAAGGAGTGAGCCCTTCCTGCTCCCTGCCCGGAGGCAGCCCTCCGCGCCTGGTTCCCCCCAGGCTGCCGCTCTCTGCCGCTCAGGCTTGGCCTCGGAGGCGCAAGCAGTGCGCGGGGGAGTGGCGGGGCCCGGATCCCTGCACCTTCGGGAATCACATGTCCTGGGCGCGCTCCATCAAGCTGGCCCAGTGCTCCACGCAGCATCCTGGGCCTTGGGCATGGGGTCATGACCCAGTGCTGGGGCCCCCCTTTCTCCTGTGCCCGGGCTGCAAAGGAGACGCCAGAGGGAAAAGGAGGGAGGGAGCCGGGAAGTCTGGAGTGTCCCCAGGGCCCCGTGGCTTCTCAAGGCCCACACCTCCCAGAGCTGGCACAAGATGGGTGTCCCCTCCGTGTCCGTCTTCACTGGGAGCACAGACACACAGACTCTCACAGCCTGGGCAAGGCGTCTGGCCCTTTATCAGCCGAATGGAGACCGTCCTTCCCCAGCAGGCCTTGATAGACCTGGGTGCTGCTTTCCCACCTTGCCCAGAGGGGGCGTCCCCCTGAGAATATTGATTCTTCACAACCATAGGATGGGGGGCAGGGGCAGAGCTTGGATCAACCCCTGGGGGCCCGACAGGCTGAGCCCCGATATCGCTCAGCCTCTTCAAGGCCCAGCTAGTGGCTCTCAAGGTGCTCCCCTCCCTGAGCGCCCCCCCGCCAAAGTCATCTGCACAGAGGCCTGCCTGGACTGCTGGGGACATCCCATTGTTTTGAGGGCCAAGCCTTGGCCCTGGCCTCTCCCACCTCCCCGGCTGGGCTGGGGTCCAGGGAGACCTTCAACTTCACAGAGGACACTTCAGGGCCGGCACTTCATCCTCCGCCAAGAGCCCTCCCTCCCTTGCTTTTTTCTAGAGTGATGCTTATATATGAGTGAGATGGGGGTGGGAGTGAGAGGGGAGGGTGTGTTCTGCAAAATGGGGGATTTCAGGTTTTATTTTTCTGGCTTAAATAGGACTTTGGGTTTTCTTTTTTCCTGAAAGAAGTGCAGGGATGGGGGACTCCAGTATTGCCGGCTCTGAGCACTATGCCCTCCGTGACCAAAACAAGGCTCCCCCCCAGGACGCTGCCCCATCCTGGGCTGCGACCCCCCGGGACCCTGAGGGCTGGCTTGCAGAGCCCCCTGGAAAGCCAGCCAGGCCCAATGTGGAAGGAGCCTGAATTCCACATTCAGCTCATCCCTGGCCTGCACTTTGCTCCGATCGATTGATCAGTGGGGGTGGTGTGTGCACAGCCTTGCCCACTCACCACTGCCCCCAGGCACAATGGGCCTCCGCCCACCACGCAGGCCCAGCACCGGCTCCCTCCTCTGAGCTGGGGTGCAGCACCCAGACACGCTTAGCCCAGCCAGCCCGACAGTCCTGCAGGCCACTCTGTACCAGCTCCTGAGCATGCCTGCATCCCATTTCCAGAGGGTTAAAAATAATGCATTAACCGAAACACAATAAAGGAGCAGCATTTTCATATTTTTCTAAGGCACTCAAAGCACTTCAAATAGCAATGCTTTAAGTTGTGGTCAGTGAGAATTACCAGCATCCAAGGATGTTGAATATTCAGGAGGAGGCACAGACCCTCTGTCTTTAAAATGCAGGGAGACCTGGCCTGCATGATAAAGTCTCTGGGAAAAAAAAAAACAAAAACAAAACATTTAAATAGGACCTGGGCAGCTTTGCCCCTCCAACATTTGAGAGAATATTTGTTTGATGACCGAAGCTTGGCGGGGGGGGGGGGGGAGGGGTCTAGACTGTCCTTTAAAACTTAAGTTGGTTTTAACTGAAGCACCTACCATTCTGGAGAAAGGGAAGGGGGAACACCGCACTCTGCACAAAGCAGGGGTAACTGGTGTTATCCTAAGGAGCGTGCCTCCTCCCTCCCGCCCACCTTTGTCTCAGGAAAGATTTTTTTTTTTTTAACTCAAAGGCTTCAGGTGAAAATAAAGCAACTGCAGCAACAGAAAAAAAAATTTAGTCTTTTTTAGGGTTAAACATCAGAAGACAAGCTTGCGCTGCTTTGGCCAATCAGATACGCCCCTGCCAGCTATAATATAGCACCGAGGGCAGCCTGTCTCGCAAGCTCTCCAGGCTTGCTACCATTTAAAATCAGACTCTTTTTGTCTTTTGATTGCTGTCTCCAGCCCCAACTCCGATGTGTTCCGTTATCAGCGACCAGCAGCCTGCCGTTCCAGCCCCCGTCTGGGTGGGGATCGGGGGCCAGTCTCCCGCTGCAGCAGCGGGTGAGGTTATATAGGAAGAGAAAGAGCCAGGCAGAGAGCGAGGGAGCCAGCAGCAAGCCGAGCGAGGAAGGGAGAGCGCAAGCCCGAGCGCAAAGGCACACACACTCGCACTCGCGCACGCAGACCCGCACGGGGACAGCGTGGAAGGCACTGGGCTCCGCGGACGAGATGCGGCTGCTGGCGAGATGTGTGCTGGTCGTGCTCGTCTCTGCACTGCTGATGTGCTCGGGGCTGGCGTGCGGACCAGGCAGGGGATTTGGGAAGAGGCGACACCCCAAAAAGCTGACCCCTTTAGCCTACAAGCAGTTTATCCCCAACGTGGCCGAGAAGACCCTAGGGGCCAGTGGAAGATACGAAGGGAAGATCTCAAGAAACTCCGAGCGATTTAAGGAACTCACCCCCAATTACAACCCCGACATCATATTTAAGGATGAAGAAAACACGGGAGCAGACCGGCTGATGACTCAGGTAGAAACCCAGCGCCGCGGCGTGGAATGTGCTGCTTTCACGGGGGCTGTGTGTGTAACCAGCCACTCCAGACTGAGTCTGTTTGCTCTTCAGGCAGATAGCAAGGCGACTTCACCCTCTCCCTCCCCACCCACCTGCCTGCCTACCATCCCTTCCTCTTCTCCAAGGGGACTGGAGGTGAGGGGTCCAGCCGGAGAAGTTTCGGGTGGGGGTGGGGGGTCAGGATGGCAGGTGTGGTCCACCCATGGCCCTGATGTGCTCTGTCCTGCTGGGATGGCCTTCCCATCCTGCCCCAGCTCTGGCTTGCAACTTGGGGAGACCTTCACTCTGGGGGCATCTGCCCCTCCCGAGTTGGGAATGGAAAGGGTGGGAGGGGGGCAGAAATCCCCCCGTAAACATAAAGTGGCTTCCAGGTCACTGTACAAACGCAAGCCTTGGGCATGAGACAGGGGAGCTTGCACGTTCCCCTCTCCACTGTGCTTTTCTTTCCCACGACCACCCCCAACCCGCCGCCCCCCACCAAAGACGCTCAGTGGGAAAAGCCAGGAGGCAGCGCTGACAAAAGGCAGGGGCTCCCGAGGCGCCGCCTGGTCCCTGAGTGCCTCGCACAGCTCCACTGCACCCCGGGCAGTGGTGCCCATCAGAGTGTGAATGTATTGATATTTCTTTAAGGATGCGTTGCCATTCTCCCGAGCCCGCGGTCCTTGAGGGGAGGGACTTAGAACTTCCTGGCATTGCATCACTCCGGTCAACCTGCAGGCACAGGAATGAGGAGCGACTAGGTATTAGCGGGAGGGGGCTAGAACGGAAAGCCAAGGCCAAACACGCGCCCCCCTCCCTCCCCACCTCTGCCTGAGAGTTCTGGCTGCCAGTCTCCCCGCCAACGGCAGACTTTCTGAAACTCCAGGCACGTATAACTGAGCTAGAAATGGACTTCCTGGCAAATATAGGTCAACATCCTTTTTATTGCCCTATTAAAACATCCAAGTCCTACCTTTCGGGCTAGGCGCGCACCACAGCTGGCGGAGCAGCGGCGGTGGGGCGCGAGTTCAGGGGAGGGCGGGCGGGGAGGCGAGCCCCTCCGGGCCGCTCGCTTCCCAGCCCGATTCGGGCCGCGAGGCCGGAGGGAGGAAGGAGAGGGCAGCCGGAGCTGACGGAAGGGGCCGCAGGGAGCCAGGGAGAGGGTCCTTCTCCCCCCGCCCCGCGCTCGCAGCTGCTCGCGACCCCCTTAAATCTGGACCGCGAGTGTGGGCGCGCGCGCCTGAGCCCCAGAGCGGCGCGAGCCACAGTGAACCCCGCGCAGGCCGCGGGGCGCGGGGGGCGCGGCCGGCTGCGGGGACTCCTGCGACCTGGGTCGCCTCGCTCCGCGCGGGAGGGAGGCGGCCTTCCCGGAGCCCCTCGGAGCCGGGGAGGAGGGAGGCGAGGCCAGGGGAGGCGGCGGGGCGGGAGGGGGCCGGCGGAGGTCCCGGAGCCCGCGGGGTCGGCGTGCGCGCGGGGCGGGCGCGGGAGAGGGGCCCCCGGGGCCGCTGCAGGTTGCAGAGCCGCGCGCCCCGGCGGCCGCCCCTCGGCGCCCCTTCCTCCGGGTTAGCGGTCCCCGCGGCCGGGGCTCCGACGGCAGGGGCGGTCGGGGTCGGCGGGGGCGCGGCGCGGGCTCCGCCGCCTTCCCGGGCCCTGGGGCCCGGCCCGGTCCCTCTTCCGGCCGCCCGCGGGGGACCCACGGCCAAGCGGCCCGCGGCGGCCACTGTCGCCGCCGCGCGCGCCGGCAGCATTTGAACTTCTGACCTTCTGTCAACTTCCCTCAGACGAACGAAACGAAAACAAATACTTTTTTTCCCTTAGGCCGCGGCCATTCCCGTTCCCGGCACAAAAGGACGGGGGAGGGGCAGCCACCGTGGGGGTGGGGTGGGCAGAGCCAGGCCGGGACTGCATCACGCACCCCGCAAATGTCCCCTGGAGACGCGGTGGCTGGCGGGGCGCGCGGGCGGGCGCCCTGCGGGTTATCCTCTCCGGCCCGCCCTTCCTCCCGGCCTGCAAGAGTTGGGGCGCGGGTGCAGGACCGCTGGTGAGGGCCCGGGGGTGCAGGGGTGGAGCAGGGAACGCCTCCCGGCCGCGGGAGGTTAGCGCTCCTCGGGGACCTGTTCACCCGCCGGCCCCGTTTAAAACCACCACCCGGACTCTGTTCCCAGGCGCGCGCGGCCCTCCTCCCGGGCTGGCCGTCCCTCCGCGTCTCTGCCTGTCCCTGTCCCTCTAATGGGACTGCCGCCCAAGTCCCTCAACCATGGCAGCACCGTCCCCGGTGGAACTTTCAGAGCAGTTCTGGAACGCAGGAGCTCCTGGTTAATATTAACTCGGAGAGGGGGAAGCGCAGACAGACGCGCTCGGCCCGCAGGCGCGGGTGCCAGGCGCGGGTGCGGCGGCCGGGGGACTCCGGGGGCAGGAGGCGGCCGCGGGGACAGGGCCTGAGGGCCGCGGGAGGGACAGCCGGGGACGCCACGCCGAGTAGGTTCCTGTGTGCGTGGCGGCCCGGCCCCGGCGCTCAGGTGTGGGTTTGCATAGGAGGGGTCTGTTTTCCCGGAGTGGGGGGAGGGGGTGGAGACAGGTGTGTGGGGACGGGGGGGGGGTCCTCTTTTGAAGTTGGGGCACCCCTCCCCCGCACTGGGAAAGCCGGGCGGCCGTTGGCGGTGACGGTCCTGCTCGGGCTTCTGGGCGCGGGGCGGCTGCGAAGACTGCGGAGGAGGCGGGGGCTCCGGCGCGGGGCGCACCTTGGCCTCCGCCGACACAAAGCCCGGCCCGGCGGCCCCGCGGGGCTTTACGGTGGCTGCACCGCGCCGGGCTTGATTCGCGGCACACGACCCAGTGAACTGCTAACCGGCCTGCGCTTCCCGGCTTTGCCTGCGCCTCTCCGGCCCGCCGGGCGCACGGCGTCCTGCCGGCCAAGGCCGCGCCACGCCTGGGGGAGCCGGGGGAGGGCGCGTGGCGAGCGGGGCGCCGCTCGGGCCTGGCTCGGCCTGGGGCTCCCCGCCTGGGCCCTCCACCTCGTGCCCGAGCGGCGCAGCCCGGGCGCCGGTACGTGGCCTCGCCATCCCGCCCTCCGCTCGCCAGCACCCCGTGGGAAGCCCCCAAAAGAAGGGAGCCGGGGTGGCGCGGGGCTCGGGCTGCGGGCTGTGTGCGTGTGCGTGTCGGCGGTGTGCGCCTGCGCAGCCGGCCTCCCAGCCCGGCTCTAAACTGACCCTGCTTTACTGATTGATTGTCATGGAAAACGCGTCCAGTCCTCAAGATGACCTCACTCAAACTCTGCCCTTCCGACTTTTGTTGTTATTATTATTATTATTATTACTAAAGAAAATTGCTGGCAGGCCCAGAAACCTTGTCAGCGCTGACCGGTTAGCAGGGCCGCCCCCAAGCCCCCCACCGCCGCCCCCATTTCTTGTACGTTGAACTCTACAACCATATTACTGGGTTTTATTGCTGTCCGACACACAGGACTTTTCCTGTTGCGCAATCCTCGCGTCCCCGCAAAGCCAAAGCGCGGACAGCAGTACTTGCAAGAGCTCCCCGCCGGCTCGCTGGGAAAACAGTCCCCAAGCTGCTCTTAGGATCCTCGACCGGGTCTTCCGTCCACCCCGCTCACCAGGTGCCAAAGCCGAGCAGAGCATGCGCGGCCTGCCGGCGATCAGCCCTACCCTCTGGGGGAGGTCAACTTGAAATTGCCCCTCACCCCCGGGTCTGTCTCTCCTGGGGATGCCCCTTGGTGATCCTGTCACCATTTCCCCTCGTTTGAACCCCGCGCCCCACCACCGCTGTAAACGCCCGGGTAGTGAGTTAGCACACGCACGCACACTTGCCACGCACGGCTCAGTTTTTTCTCGCATCCTTCTCTGAATGTGGCCTGAGAATTATGAGGGCCTCCGCCAACCCCGAGCTCCACTTCGCCCTGGCCTGTGTCCTGCCCATTCAGTGTTTCTTCACTGCCACGGCAAGGCAGCTTCCTCGTGGGTGCGGCGGGGGGTACTCCTGAAGGGCTCCGAGGCCTCGGGCCTCTCGGGCTCCCCATCCCCCACCCCTCACGCCCCGCCCCCTCCCTCCACCTCTTAAGTTTGCTCTTCAAACTTGCAGGACGCCATTCTGCTCTGGGGCCAAGAAAACAAGAGGGGGGAAGGGAACAGTTTAAGGAAAACAAGAGACACAATCAGACCACAGAAAAGCCGGAGAAAAGAGGTCTATGGAGAAAAGGAATGTGGCTGTCCAGATAAAGAATGTTTGTCGTCAGGCCTGGCCCGCATTGAAAATTATAACTCACCTGCTTGCCTTTCACTCCGGCCCCCTCCAGCCCCTTCCGCGTGGCTATCAGCTTCCCACCTCCCTCTCGCCCTTTGGCTGGATCCAGGGCTCAGATAGGCCCAGGGTAGGAGGGAAGGTCCAGAGATAACCCAAGGCTTTTCACTCTTTAAGAAGCATACCGCCTGTGTTCTTTATTTCTGCAAAGTTGCACCCTGGGCCTCTCTCCAGCCTCCTGGTGAGGGAGTTAGGCCAGGCACAAGGGTGGAGCCTTGCAGGTGTGGAGAAATGGGGCCACGGAAAGGGATGGGGGGGGGAGTGGAGGGCATCGTAGGGGAGGAGTGAGCCATTCGCCCCGGGGGACCCTGGCAGGCCCTGCAGTCACTGTCTGAGACGCACACAAGTTTACGCGTCTCAAAGGATGTCCTCTTCGTCTCGGGCCATGGTAGGGGCTCTGTTAGGTCAGATTTTGGAGAAAGGCCCTCGGCTCATCTGCAAGACGACTGGCTCCTCCAGCAGACGCCACAGCCCCCTCGCACCTCAGGGCACGTCCAGGCCTTGTCCCCGGCTTGTCCACAGAGCGCTTATCCGCAGGGGCTGGGCCGGGCAGCCGAGGCAAGGGCAGGGACGGGTGGCAGGCCCAGTACTAACATCTGCGGGGGCCCCCTTCTTTCCGCAGAGGTGTAAGGACAAGCTGAACGCCTTGGCCATCTCGGTGATGAACCAGTGGCCCGGTGTGAAGCTGCGGGTGACCGAGGGCTGGGACGAAGATGGCCACCACTCAGAGGAGTCGCTGCACTACGAGGGCCGTGCGGTGGACATCACCACGTCCGACCGCGACCGGGGCAAGTACGGCATGTTGGCGCGCCTGGCCGTGGAGGCTGGCTTCGACTGGGTGTACTACGAGTCCAAAGCGCACATCCACTGCTCCGTGAAAGCAGGTGAGGCGGCAGGCCCGGCCTCCTCCATAGCCCCCGTGCCCACGAAGCCCCCCGACCCACCTAGCAGCTCCACATCTGCCCGTGAGAGGTCACCATGGCGCCCGGCAGTGGGATTCAAGGGAAAGAGGCAAATGTGTGCAGGTGGGGGGAGGCAGGAGGGGCAGGAGGGGCAGGGAGGGAGCGAACTGGGTGATAACTCGTGTCTCTGGTGTGGGAACACAGCCTGTAGACGTAGGGCCCGCCCGCTGGGAATTGGCCCTACCTTTGAGGTGCTCCAGGCCCAGATGCAGAGGGCATATGGCTTCCTGAGCCTGCCCCGACCCTGTTTCCGGAGCCCCCACTGCAGGTGGCGGAGACAGGGAAGACGGGGGAGGGAACGTTCCTGGTGCATTGGTAGCCAGGTCTGGCCTAGATTCTTCCTCTCATTTCAGGCTTAAGAATCAACCAGCCCCTACTCAACTCCCCAGCACAGGAGGTTCTGCCCAGGGTGTAAGCTCCTGGTCCTCTCTCCTCCCCACTGAGCGTCTGTGGACACTAAACTAACTTAACTCGCTGGCTAAGCCTTTGGGGAGAGGCCTGGTGGGAGGTAATAAACGCAGTGGTTACCGCTTCCAGCATCTGGAGGCCGCAAGCCCAGAAGCATCCGTCCTTATTAGGAGCCAGCTGGGCTGCCCCGAGCCACAGGCAGGGCCAGGAGGCCGATGGGAGTCTGCAGCTGCAGGCGGCCCATCCATGGGCTGGTGACTTCCCTGGGCCTACAACGCCACACGCTGTCGCTGTCGAGGAACAGCCATGCCGCGGAAGGCGCTGTACCCACGGCTTATAGCCCAGCTCCGAGGTCATTTATGCGGATCTCTCCACCTCCCCGCAGAAGCTGATGCATTTAGCAGAACAGTTCACAGTAAATTTTGGAGGAACTGTGTCTTCCCCGCCCCCGCCCCCCGAGTTTTGCCTATTTGTCTCCTAAACTGTATTTTAGTAGCATGTGTTAGTAGAAAAACACTTTCAAGGTGTCAAGACACAGTTCATAGGGAAGGAAAATAGTGGCTTCTTATCACAACAGAAAGAAAAGGTGTGGAAAGGGCAGTGGGGGGGTGCTGGGCTTGTAGCCAGAGACAGGGAGGACGGGCAGGCGGCGCCCGCCCTTCTCGGGGCTCCGCTGCGGAAGGCCCCGGGGGCGCACCCTTCCCGGGACCTTGCGGTTGCGCTCGAGGGGCGTTCGGCCCCCTCCTGGGCCAGCCCTGTCCCCGGGGTCCCCCTGGCGGGGGTCCCTAGAGGTCTTCTTGCAAGTGAGCAGCGGTAATCCCGCAGCAGGATTCCGCCCGGGGAGGGCAGACCCCCAGGGCGCGGAGAGCCGCTCATTGGCATTCGGCGCACACGGGCCGGGGCGCGGTGCGTTGCGTGTCAAGCAGGGTTGTGCGACTCGACGACTCGGGCTCGCCTGCGCCCCGGGTCGCATTCCGGGGGGCGACGGCGGGCCTCCAACGGCCAGGCCCGCACTTCATGCCGCAGAAACCGATGAGAAGATTAAAAACCCTCTGTAATTCCAGCAGGAAGATTCTTTCTCGCGATCTCTATTTGCAAAAAGCATGATCCCGGAGATTGGAATGCAAAGAAGACCGGGCTCTCCCCGCCCCTCCTCCGCGGCCCCCTGCTCGCCACCCTGGCTCCGATCATTGTCCTCGGGACAGTGAGCCTCAGAGAGCGACAGAGGGCTCGGGAAAGCGGGTAGTCAAGGGGCCTTGAGAACCCGGCCGCTTCCAGTGCTTGGAGCAGGCCCCGCCATTTAAAATTCAAATACACATCTTGAGTGCTTGGAAGAGGCCTGGCTGTGCAAATAGTGCTTGTGAGGCCCGGGCTTCTGGAGAGCCCGCGTGTGAATCGCAGGGGGGCTGGGGGGGGGGGTGCACCTGAGCAAATAGGGAGGGGGCAGCTGAGAAAGGGGAGGGGGGAAATGGAAGTGGCCCCTCTTCCAAGAGTGTCTCCCATTTATTGCGGAGATCACAATGACAATGCTGGGCCCTTTATTGGATTTTAATTAGAAAATCCACACAAGCCCCGGATTTTCACACCTCGGCCAATTCCCTGGAATGTTTGTCCAGTTGCTACAACTACTACAGCTATTTTTCACTCCCGCCCCTCTCCCAAGCCCCTGCAACGGGCCGGCACCAAGGCCCCCCTGCTGGGCTGCGCGCTGGGGGCGGGCAGGCGAGGGGTTCCCGCCGCGCAGCCCCGGTGCGGGGCGCACCAGGGGGGGCCGCACCCCGCGCCGGGGGCGGGAAGAAAGGAGGTGCGCCCCGGCGCCCGAGGGAGCTCAAGGAGGCTTCCTGAGGAATCTAAGTGCAGAGCAAATACCCTGCGAATTCAGGGCGAGGTTGGGTGTGTGCTGAGCCGGGGGACGGGGTGGGAGGAAGGCGGAAGGGAAGGCGTGTAACCGGCCTCCCGCCGGAGACGCCAGCCAACCTCTGCCACTGCCAGTCCAATCCTAAGAGAGTCGTTAAGGAATGTATCTGCATCTGAATTTTGTCACCGAGACGGTGGCGCTGGGGGAGAGGGGTCTGCGCTGGGCCAGCCGGGGGACTCTCCCCCCGGAGCTGCGCGGGTCCCAAGTCTGGTGCGCGGGACGGCAGGCGTGCGCCCCCTGCCCCACTTGTGCCTCCCCGTGGGCGCTCACCACCCTGTGCCCTCTTCTCTCCCTTCTCCGACCCCCGCAGAGAACTCGGTGGCGGCCAAGTCCGGCGGCTGCTTCCCGGGCTCGGCCACGGTGCACCTGGAGCAGGGCGGCACCAAGCTGGTGAAAGACCTGCGTCCCGGGGACCGCGTGCTGGCGGCCGACGACCAGGGCCGGCTGCTCTACAGCGACTTCCTCACCTTCCTGGACCGCGACGATGGTGCCAAGAAGGTCTTCTACGTGATCGAGACGCGGGAGCCGCGCGAGCGCTTGCTGCTCACCGCCGCGCACCTGCTGTTCGTCGCGCCGCACAACGAGTCGGCGGCCGCGGAGCCGGGGGCGCCGTCGGGCGCGGGGCCGCCGCCGGGGGGCGCGCCGGGGCGCCGGGCGCTCTTCGCCAGCCGCGTGCGCCCGGGCCAGCGCGTGTACGTGGTGGCCGAGCGCGGCGGGGATCGCCGGCTCCTGCCGGCCGCCGTGCACAGCGTGACGCTGCGGGAGGAGGCCTCGGGCGCGTACGCGCCGCTCACGGCGCAGGGCACCATCCTCATCAACCGGGTGCTGGCGTCGTGCTACGCGGTCATCGAGGAGCACGGCTGGGCGCACCGGGCCTTCGCGCCCTTCCGCCTGGCGCACGCGCTCCTGGCCCTGCTGGCGCCCGCGCGCACGGACCGCGGCGGGGACGGCGACGGCGGGGACGGCGACGGCGGGGACGGCGACGGCGGGGGCGGCCGCCTGCCCCCGCCCGCGCCAGGGGCGCCTGAGGCGCCAGGGGCGGCCGACGCGCCGGGGGCCGTGGGCGTCCACTGGTACTCGCAGCTGCTCTACCAAATAGGCACCTGGCTGTTGGACGGCGAGGCCCTGCACCCGCTGGGCATGGCGGTCACGTCTAGCTGAAGGCCGGGCAGCCGGGAGGGCGCGGGGTGGGGCGGGGAGCGGGGCGGGAGGGAGCAACAGCAAGAACGGCAAGAGACACACGGAAAAGCGCACGGATGAGACTTTAATTATAATAATAATTAATAATAATAATAAAGTAGGGCAGTCCAAAGTAGACTATAAGGAAACAGAGACCCCGGGAAGTTTTGTCGTTGCGTTTAGTTTATTTTTATTTTTTTTTTTTGAGTTTTTTGGTTGTTGTTTTATTTCGGTTATTTTTTTTTCACCTCTCCTGGCTATTTATTTGTTTGGTATGAATAGATGTTTTAAATAATATGAACCGGACCTTCAAGAGCCTTAAATAGTTTGTTTCTTGGATAATTTATTATTATCATGTGAACTGTCCTCACAGGGGGGAAAGATTATTTTGTGAGGCCAAGCGACCTGCTCAGAGTCTATTTTTCTACATATCCCTCGCCCTGACTTTCAGAAAGCAAAACTCTGCACTCCGCATTCCTCGTTTGCCACGCGCCTGCTTTTCGGCAAGTGTAAACTAAAACATGCTTCATGGGGGTCCGCAAATTATATTTTTATACACAGAATTGTAAATTAGATTTTTTGAGAGATCAATACTTAACTGAATTACATTTCATTTTTGAAATAGTGTAAAATATGAAAATATATTATTTTAATTTAACTAGTTTCCAGTGTAACAGCCACCTCCTGTATGTCTTCATGGGTTAATATTTGCTCCATCATCACCATTTTGGCCACATTCTTGGAAGTCAAGACTGTTACACACACATTCACACTCACACACACACACACACACTTTTTTTTTTTTTGGACAAACTGGAAGAACTCTGTTATTTTTAACTTCAAAGAATTTATTAGAAAATAATATTTTTTAAAAGCGCACATAGTGATGAGCCCACGAGAATGGAGCCTGTAGTTTGTACAGAGAAAAACAAAGGATGTTTTTGCATTAATAAATTGAGAAATAACTGCTGTAAATTTACTAAAATGTATTTTTGAATATTTTGTAATAGTTTTATAGAAATAAAATGTGCCACGCACAGACTGGTTAGTATATAATAACTAAGAATCCCTGTCGCAGCCCCGCTTTCGTTTCTGTTTTGGCTTCTTTGTTTGGGAACCCTAGTGCTGACAGGAGTGCCCAGCATTATATTTAGATGTGTTGCTTATACTGTGAATTCAGATCAGCTTAAGTAGGTAACCAAAGTAGGTAACCAAACCGACTTGTTTATCTTCATCACTGGAGAAACCTCAGCTCTGTTTGTATTTGTTGTGTGAGAGTCTTTGTGCACTCCACTGGCTGGGGGTGCTGGGAGTGGGTGCCGTTCTTCTCCCACCCCCCAGCCCTTAATTAGCGCAGCCCAGCGCGAAGGCCCGGCAGAGGAGGCCTGCGGGCACGCACCCAGGACTCTCTCCCTGGGCTCCGTGGAGCTGTTGGCAGACCTCATGCCCTCCACCTGGTCGCCCCACGTTGGAGTGCCTGGTCCTCCGGCCTCGAAGGGAGGAGGCCCCTAGCTGCTTTGTGAAGTCCTGGGGTACCCTTTTAAGATGGGTCCCCAGGGAGAGGGCCAAGTGTTGATCTTCTCTGAACCCCCCTGGGACCCTCGTGGCGAACCCACTGAAGAGGGCACATTCTCCACCTGCTCTCAGGGGGCCCCGCCTCCCCTCCTCCCCAGTCACATCTGCTAGCCTCAGGGCTGCCAGGGTCCTTGGGCCACGTTGGTGTTGTCGAGTCCAAGCCGTCTGTCTGGAGTGGTTGTTTGGTGTAGGTTTTCGTCCCTAGGGCATGGTCCTGCTTTAGTGGGCACACTGTGGTTGGCCTCCTATGTCGGCTGGTCCAGGGGAAGAAGTCCTCCATGTTTGACGTTGTGTTATAGACTCAGCTGAGAGGGGCTCGGCCCTTGGCTGTCACTCTCAGTGCTTCGGCTTAGCAAAGGCTACTGTCCTGATGTGTGCTTTGGGCCAAGTGTCCCAGCAGGTTCGGCTTTGGAAGGATGGCTGTGTGCACATAGGGCCTCTTAGCGACTTAAGCCTGTCTGAAGGCTGCTTTGGGTTTGGGGAGCAGAACGGAGCCTGACGGCGTCAGGCAGGCCTCAGTCCCATGGGCAGGGCTGGTGATGCTGCGCCTAAGGCTAGGCCTGTGGTGGCATCTTCAGCCAGAAACACCGGGCCTTGAGGGGCTTCTGTGCGGAAGGTCCGGCGTGGTGTGCCTTTTCCAGGAGGCCGTGGGCCAGGGGCCAGGCATGCACCCTGGAACTTGCCCTCTGCCTGCTTCCAAGGGGCCAGGCCCTTCAGGCAGGAGTGGTCCTTGGTTTTTCTCTGTCAAAGACTTTTCTTTGGTCTTCTAGGTAGTTAGCAGGTGCAAGGTTTGCAATCCCTGGTGGAATTTGGTGGTTTCTGTTGTGCTGACCGTTCCGTTCTGAGTGTAAGCCCTGGCACCCCAAGAGCTTTAGCTGTGCCGGTTGACGGACTAGTTAGCGGTGAGGCTGGTCGGCCGAAGAGAGCATTGGAGGGTTGGCCAGGCCCCAAGGGAACCACCCGTTGGTGACCCCCAGCGCGGGGGCACCGCGGCCCCGAGCAGCAACCCCCCCAGTCAGGCGAGGTGGCAGCCCCCTCTCACTGCTCCCCCGCCCTCCCTGTTCCACGTCCGCCGCCCCTTGCCCACCTTTGCATTCAGAATCCTCTCTCTCACGGCCAACAAAAGGGATCCACGCCGTAGAGCAACCCAACCCAGGGCACCAGGATGTGCAGTCCGCTCCCAGCAGACGAGGTGTCCACTCCACCTTCAGGGTGGACGGGGTGAAGAGTTTGTGCGAAGCGTCCACGCGGTGTTGCCGCCAGCCTCCCTCGTGACTAAATGCATACCTATTCCTGTCAAAAGCGTGTATCACAATGTACTTGAAACCGTTATCTTTGTGCTCTATTGTTTGAATAATTAAAGAAGTTACAGAGACTTCCGGCCATGTCTGTTCTGTGGCAGAATGCCTGCCCTCGGCGATCCTCACCTCCTTCCGCGAGCTTGTGCGGCAAAGTGAGAGACAAAGTCTCCGGGGGCGCGGGCCACGCGGGCCTCGGTGGCAGGGTGCGACCGGGCTGTGGGGGGGCCCCGCGTGCTGAAGCATGGGGCTGGGACATTCGGTGCAGCCGCAGTGAGGGGGGACAAGGCGGCGCTGTCCAGTCCTGGTGGAGTCCCTCGGCTGCGGGCATCACACCCACACGGCAAACATTGGCCAGACCTGCAAAGAATACCAGCCGGTTGCAAGATTTGGCAAGAAAGTGGCAGCGCGCCCAGGGTGAGCACGCGCCCGGGGTGAGCCGGCTGCAGGGCTGGTGCGGGGCGAGCCCTCCGACTGCGTTCTCCGTTCTCTGATGACCCATCCTTCCAAAAGGACACGGTACTCAGAGGGGTTGGGAGGCCCTGGGAGGTGGACTTTGAAATGGCTTCTCATGAACAAGTCACCCAACACATGGTTTTCCGCAGGTGCTCGGACCGGGGTTGGCAAATGACAGCCCTGAGAACAGCCCAGCCCTAGGCCTGTTTTTATACAGCCCACAAGCTGAGATTGGTTTTCACATATATTTTTTTTAATGGTCGAAAACAAAAAAACTAAAGAATAAGATTTCATGACAGGTAAAAATTATATGAAGTCCAGACTTCAGTGTCCATCAGTAAAATTCTCTTGGAACGCTCCCCCCACCACCACCACTAATTCCTTCACACGCTGTCTGGGGGAGCCTTGGGGCACAGAAGTTGCATCAGGAACCACGTGGCCCACAGAGCCTGAGGTATTTACTCACTGGATCTTTACAGAGAAAGTTTGCCACCTGTGGTCTAGGATGGGAAAACCTAGGTTGTGGCGAAACAGAGCGCTGCGGTGGGGGCAGGAGGCTGGAGCCGGAACAGAGCTGTGTGCATGCCAACAAAGCACGTTTTTCTGTTGGGATCCAAAGGATCCCCCCGCTCAATTCTGCCCCTTACTCGGAGCCGTAGAGAGGGTGACAGACCCGGAAGAGCGGCCGGCAGCCCCTTGGGCCTGGCGGTGTAACAGGCCCAGCCGAGCGCTATGTGGGTGCGCGCTAAGCTGGAAACGCATGATCTGCAGCGCAAGGTGGGGGCCAGGACCAAGAGCAGAGGAAGATGGGCAACATTTGTCTCCCAGCTCCGGCTCCGTGAAAATAGCCCTGAGGTGAGAAAATAGGAAGTCTGGATTTGGAGATACTCTCCTTTCCTTTCTTCGGCTGAGTTTGATTTTCTCCAATTAAGAAGAAATCATAGGAATTCACATTTTACCCTATAAGCAAGCTCTAGGGCTTGTTCCGTGAGACATGGAAACGGAAGATCACCTTTTCAATGCGTATCTGTGGTTTTCGTGATGGGGGCCACTGTGTTCCCGGGGAGGGTGGGGGGAGCTGGTGTAAGTAAGGGGGTTGAAAAACCTGAAGACTGAAGATAAACTAGAACAGATATTATGCCCAGAATCCAAGGAAACCATTCCCCTGAACCACAGCACTTGGCTCTGGATGCCTTCCTATTTACCCCAGGTCAGGGCCTAAGTGTTTGCTTCCAGGGGAAACGGACGCCCCGTCCACTGGATGGCACCCCTCATCCCCGCCGGGGAACTCCTTCCTCCACACCCCAGGAGAGGTCAAGGACTCCCTTTGGGAACCCTGCCACTCACTGCCAGGCAGAAAAACCAGCCCCATGTCTGAAAGGAGCCTCTGCTCACGGGTCCCTGCGTCTGCCTCCCTGCCGCCCGTGTCCTCCGAGTCCTAGCACTCCCCTGCAGCCAGACTGTGGCCACGCTCCGTGCTCAGCAGGGCCACCCAACCGGCTGGCCTCGCTCTGGCCCAGCCAAGCCAGAGCCTTGGCAGAGAAGCGGGTGGGTGGGAGGAGGCTGTGGGAACCTGATATTTGGTGTTTTGGAAAGAGCGTCAGCATCGATGGGAGAGGACCAAGCGTCGTCGTACCTGCCTGCTCACCTCACGGTTTATTACTGATGCTGCCCTTAGGACTTGGTGATGCATGCAGGAAGGCAGTCACGGCTCCGAGCCTGGGGCTCTGAGGGTCTGAGGCAGCCTTGGCCGAGCCCCCAGCACCCAGCACCCAGCCCCCAGCGCCCAGCGCCCAGCCCCCAGCGCCCAGCGCCCAGTGCCCAGCCCCCAGCCCCCAGCCCCCAGCGCCCAGCCCCCAGCGCCCAGCACCCAGCCCCTAGCACCCAGGCCCCAGCCCCCAGCACCCAGCCCCCAGCGCCCAGCGCCCAGCCCCCAGCGCCCAGCGCCCAGCGCCCAGTGCCCAGCCCCCAGCCCCCAGCGCCCAGCGCCCAGCCCCCAGCCCCCAGCTCTGTGTAGGGCCCTCCAGCCTTCCCCGGCCTCTGCGGCTGGCTTCCCCCCGCAGCTGCAGGGTCCCAGCCCCCAGTGCCCAGCACCCAGCGCCCAGCACCCAGCAGCCAGCCCCCAGGCCCCAGCAGCCAGCACCCAGCCCCCAGCACCCAGCACCCAGCGCCCAGCCCCCAGCACCCAGCGCCCAGCCCCCAGCGCCCGGCACCCAGCACCCAGGCCCCGGCAGCCAGCCCCCAGCGCCCAGCCCCCAGCGCCCAGCGCCCAGTGCCCAGCCCCCAGACCCCAGTGCCCAGCGCCCAGGCCCCAGCACCCAGCGCCCAGGCCCCAGCACCCAGCACCCAGCCCCCAGCGCCCAGCGCCCAGCACCCAGCGCCCAGCCCCCAGCCCCCAGCCCCCAGCTCTGTGTAGGGCCCTCCAGCCTTCCCCAGCCTCTGCCTCTGGCTTCCCTCCCGCAGCTGCAGAGTCCCAGCGCCCAGAACCCAGGCCCCAGCAGCCAGCCCCCAGCCCCCAGCGCCCAGCACCCAGCACCCAGCACCCAGCGCCCAGCCCCCAGGCCCCAGCAGCTAGCCCCCAGTCCCCGGGCCCCAGCGCCCAGCCCCCAGCGCCTGGCCCCCAGCGCCCAGCGCCCAGCCCCCAGCCCCCAGCGCCCAGCGCCCAGAACCCAGCAGCCAGCCCCCAGCGCCCAGCCCCCAGTGCCCAGCGCCCAGCAGCCAGCCCCCAGGCCCCAGCAGCCAGCCCCCAGCCCCCAGCCCCCAGCGCCCCGGCCCCAGCCCCCAGCCCCCAGCGCCCAGTGCCCAGCACCCAGCGCCCAGCGCCCAGGCCCCAGCACCCAGCACCCAGCGCCCAGGCCCCAGCACCCAGCACCCAGCACCCAGCGCCCAGGCCCCAGCACCCAGTGCCCAGCACCCAGGCCCCAGCCCCAGCCCCTAGCCCCCAGCGCCCAGGCCCCAGCACCCAGCACCCAGCACCCAGCGCCCAGCACCCAGGCCCCAGCAGCCAGCCCCCAGCCTCCAGCCCCCAGTGCCCAGTGCCTAGCACCCAGCGCCCAGCGCTCAGCACCCAGGCCCCAGCCCCCAGCCCCCAGCCCCCAGCGCCCAGCCCCTAGCGCCCAGGCCCCAGCCCCCAGCCCCCAGCCCCCAGCGCCCAGGCCCCAGCCCCCAGGCCCCAGCACCCAGCACCCAGCGCCCAGCACCCAGGCCCCAGCACCCAGGCCCCAGCACCCAGTGCCCAGCGCCCAGCGCCCAGGCCCCAGCCCCCAGGCCCCAGCGCCCAGCACCCAGCACCCAGCCTCCACTGCTGGCTGTGCGCCCAGCCCTTCCCGCGGCGGGTTTCCAGCTCCGTGGCCGGCCACTCCGCGGTCCGCGCCTCGGGCCTGGGGAAGCTCCCGGGGCAGGCGGCTCCAGCCCTCGCGGGCAGTGCCCCTGGCAGCCTCCCGCGCCCCTGGCGCTGTCCCTGATCGCGTCAGGCTGAGTCTAAGAGGAGGCCGGGAGCAGAGGGGGTCGGGGAGATACGGGGTGCTGGGCCAGCGCGGCACGCCGCCTGGGGCGCGGGCCCTCCAAGGTCCCCCAGGTGCCCCCAGCATCAGCGCGGCCGCCGGGCTGGAAGACGCTGCCCTGAGTGGAGTCCGAGCGCCCTCTGCTGGTCGCCGTGCGCAGAGGCGGGCGCTGGCATCTGCGCGGGCGGCCGGGGCCGCAAAGGCGGTGGACGCTGACCAGCCGGGGGCTCATCAGAACAAATCCCCAAGTGTCCTCTAACAGAGAGGAGGGACAGCAGGTCAGGCCCCAGGGAGGAGGGTCAAGGAGACGTGAGGGCTCCGGTTGGAGCGGGCGGCGCGGGCCGTCCGGTGCAGGCCGAGCGTGACCCAAATTAAAGCTCAGCCGGCCCAGCCCGCCCAGCGGATCGGCCTGGGTCGTGGGTGGACCACGGCCTGAACACCAGTGGTCAGAAGGGAGGAGCAAAGAGGACTCCTGTCTGGGGACCCAGGAAGGCAGTTACTTCTCTGCCGGTCCTGGAGCAACAGTTCCCCCCACTCTGTCTTAAGTGAGGTGGAGCGCCCCCCTTTCTGGGCACCAGGCCCTGCAGAGGGACGGGCGGCTGCGGCCGTTTCCAGAGCTGAGGGGTTGGGCAGGCCCTCCTGTGGGCCGTCCGGGCGCCTGGAAGGGGCAGGCCGCTGGGTGTGTGGGGCCTCGCTGGGCTGCGCGGCTGGGACCAGGCCCCTGGTCTCCACAGCCCTCGGCTCCCCTCCCCGGACACCGCTTCGCACGCCTTGGGGTAAGCGGGCGACCCAAGGCGGGGTTTACGGGAAGCACGGGGCCACACAGGGCGACAGTGGTCGTAGGGGCCCCTCTGAGAAGCCCTGGGTGCCGTAGCCAGGCTCCTCTGTGTGGACTCAGCCTCACCGAGAGGGAGCCAGGGACTGGGGACCACTGCGGCCCCACCACTGACCGCCCTTGGGTTTGGGAGGGCCGTGGACACTGCTGGGCCTCCGCCCGCTCACAGGGAGGTGAGGCGGCAGACCCACGGTCCCTTGCAACCCAGAAATGCTCCCGCTTGAAGGCCAGCTGCTTGCTACGGCCGATAGGCTCCACCTGGATCCAGGTGAGGCTGAACACGTCTGTCTACACCCAAAGAAAACACAACACTGGGGAGATGAAAGCACTCGGATTCTCTGAACAGACCCTCGAGGTCGTCCTCAGTGGGGTCGCTGCCGTCGGACGTCGGCTGTGGCCGCGCGGGGCTGGCTGCCGCGGGCGGACACAGAACAACAAGGTGATGAAGCGCGACTTCCTTCTAGGGTGACCCACGTGGAGGGGACCGTGCGACCTCAACAGGAAAGAGAAGGCGGCCTTCCGCCAGCATGGCTGTCGCGCTGGGTCGGTCGGGGGCCAGTGCGGCTGTAAGGAAGATCCCGCCCGCTGCAGTCCAGGCCCGGCGGGGGCCTGAGCAGGGCTGGATGTTGGATGCGGTGTGGCTGGGGACGGAGGGCTCTCTCCCTCTCCAGGCTACTTCCTTCCAGAAAGCCCTGTCCTCCCGGGTGCCCCTGATTAGAGCCCAAGGGTCGCTTCAATGCGGACCCAAGGCCACGGCGAATCTCTGGGCGGCCTCCAGGGCTGGGGTCAGGAAAAGCATCCCCCTCAAGGTGTTGTCCCTTTTAAGGAAGAAGTTTGAGGAACAACAGAACATCTAACAGACCAGCGCTCATCAGATGTCCAGAACCTTCCGTGCTGGAGTTGGCTGTAACCCTGCGCTACGCCTGACCTCATCTGAACCCCACTGTGAGAAGCACGTCCCTGGAGCGCAGCCCCCTCCTTCCCGCCCGCATGAACTCTGACATCTGCCATGCTTCCTATCCAGACCAGGCCACGGGCTGATGTCGGGGCCTGCCCACAGGTTTGGGGAGCAGCTAAGGTCACTGCTCTGCATCCCCCCAGAGCCGTATCGGGGGTGAGAGAAGAAAGCCAGGGGGGATGCACCGAGCAGTGTGCCCCTGTCCTCGTGGGGCGGCCCGGAGGCTCTACCCCTCCGTCCCATCTCCGTTTAGCTCCCGGTGAAGACCCCTGGTGCGCACCCCTGCGAGAGGCCCGGGCTGTCCCATGGACCCCTCGCGCCCCGTGCCCCACAGCGGCTCTTCCTTCCTTCCCTCATGGGAATTCCCCTTCTCCCCCAGGCCGAGGCCGGAGGGGCCAGGAGGAGGTGAGCCCCCAGTACGGGGCCAGGACCAACAGGGAAACTGAGCCAGCCACACCCGGCGCCTGGGGAGTTCCGCAGGCGGGACAGAGAGAACTGGCCTCAGCAGAGAGAGCACCGTGCATCATCGGGCAGGACTGACTTACCACTGTGGGAAAATACAAGTAAAACCAATACAAATACAAGTGAGCTCCGAGGCAGCTCATCACAGAGGTGGGAGCAGAGCCGGGGATGCGCGGCCCCCCTGGGTTCTGGCCGTTTCCAAGACGAAACGGGTTTGGGGGGTTAGCTGGGATTTGAGGGACTTCAGGTAGGTGCAGATTTGATACGTTTTCTGTATTTTCCTAGTTCAGTATAAGGAGCCCACTTCCCTTGCTCAGAAGAAGAAACTTGCTATTAAATTCGGGGGCTCAGGTCCTGCCCTGTCATCATGTGGCTGCGGTTGGCGGTCCGGGCCCACCGCCCCCCTCCCCAGCCGCCGGCAGCCCCTCACCTCTGCAGGCCGAGATGCCCACGGCCTTCCGTGCCTCCCCTGAGGGGGCAGGACGGGCAGCAGCGGGGGGCCCCGGGGGCGACCGGCACCGGTCCACGACGAGCCCCAGCCCATGTCCTGCCGTTGAGAACAAGCCAGTGCAGCGCCCCCCCCTCGCCAGGACGCCCCGCGCCCGGCCCCCGGACACCTGCAGAGGCCCGAGCTGCCTCCCCAGCTGGAGCGCTGAGCTATTTATAGGCAGTGCTCCCAGGGCTCCCATGTCGGTCCTAACGACTAGGTGTTCAGTCAAAAAAGAGCCTTTTTAGGTCAGGGAAATGAGTTTAAAAATACTTTTGTCTGCCTGCGGGTATACCCGGCAGAGGGCCCCAGCTCTGCCGTCTCGAGCAACCAAGGGCTGGGTCTTCCAGGTGGGCGCGCTCCGGCAGCCCCGAGCCCTGGCTCCTAGAGGCTGGGGCCTCCCCACCTGGCCGCACCCGCCCTCCGGCCCCCGTGACCTCTGCCCTCCTCGGGGGCTGCGGGGGGCCCGGGCGGGGTCCGCAGAGGCGGGGCCCCCGCTGCTTCCCTTCGCGTGCACACCCGGAGAGGGTCTCCCAGCGCGGCTGTGTGTGCCCGTGCGTGTTAAGTGTTCTGTGGGTGTGAGCGCGCGTGTGAGGCGAGTGTGTGTGTGGACGAACTGAGAGTGAGTGTGCAAGCACGTGTGGGTGAACTGTGAGTGTGCGTGGGTGTGCGTCAGTTGTGTGTGTGTGAGTGTGCAAGAGGCAGGCAGTGGGCAATGGGAGAGTCTGAGACAGGGGTCTCTCTTGCCTGCCGCGCAGTGAGGAGTGGCCTTCCTCCGAGTTGGGCATCCTGCCCGCCAGACGTCAAGGGCACCGAAGGTCAGCGAGCAGGGGCGAGCTGCCTTCTTCCCGCAAGGAGAGCTAGCTTAGACTATCAGTGCTAAAGCCCTGGGGAATCAGACATTGAAGTCACTTCTCAAATATCAAATCCTTCTCTGAGAACAGGTTTTGAGAGGAATGGAACGGGGAGGGTGACCGCCCTGGGACAGGCATCGCGGGGCCGGGGGGACAGCGGAGAGGCGGGGGCAGGCGGGGGGTGCGGGCAGCCCGGGCCGCGGGCTCCCGTGGGCGAATGCTTTCCCTTCCTGCCCTCGTGTGAGAGGCAGAGAAAATGGGGCACAGAGGGAGACAAAGGGGATTCTGGGTTTTTTGGTTTTGGTCAGTAAGTTGGTCAGTAGGTATCTTAGGAATTTATAAGGCTGTTCTAGGGGCTAAGGAAGATCTTAAAGAATTCATGCACTCGGGGGCACCGGGGGGGCGCTCAGTCGGTTAAGCATCTGCTGTTGGCTCGGGTCATGATCCCAGGGTCCTGGAATCGAGTCCCGCATCGGGCTCCCTGCTCAGCGGGGAGTCTGCCTCTCCCTCTGCCTCTGCCACTCCCCCTGCTTGTGCGCTCTCTCTCTGACAAATACATAAATAAAATCTTAAAAAAAAAAAAAAAATTCACGCACTCTTCAAATTTCCTAGCAGGAATGGAAAAAGCCCACATTATTACCCGTGAAACACCCAGAGAGTGGTTTCTCTTCCCATCTTGATCACCAATAAGGGATAGCAACTCTGCACGAGGCTTTCATCCTTCTACGGCTCGGACACTGCTCCCTTCACTTCACAGATGAGAAGAGTAACCTGTAGGAAAGCAAGTGGTTTCTCCCAGATCGCCCAGCTAAGGGAAGGGGCTGGGATTCGAACATTCGGCTTTGGAGCTTCATCAGTCCACCCACTGCAGGGAGGGAAGGAGGAGACCCGCGCCGTCACCCTCCCCGGGCCCCTCCTCCCAGCTCCTCTGGGCCTGGCCTGCCTCCTCCTTCCCACCTCTTTAAACTCTGCCTGACGCTCAGCCCCCAGTTCCGCAGAGTAAATGGTGGGAGAAGTGGGAAGAGGAAGAGATTTTAACACATGGTATACGTAGGGTTGGCCCGGGATTGGGGTAGGACGGCCGTGGGGATTAATGTCACCGCGGCACCACTTGGCAGCGAGTCACCGAAGCCTGGGAATTCTGCGTCCGTTGGCTCAGCACTTCTACTGTTGGAACTGACACCAAGGAAACAACCAGATTTGCATACGCTCAGGGTCCTGTCATGCTTCCGCCGTGGTGTCCGTCGCCTGCAAATCTGGGCAGCAGCTTCCGTGTCCAACACTACGGAATTAGTTCGGTAAACTCGGGAGTGTCATACAACATACTCAGCTTCATGAGGAAATATTTACAACCCATCATGCGGTGAAAAACAGCCGGTTCCAAAGCATTATGCACACTTTGGTCCCACCTCCGTGTGTGTGTGTGTGCACGCGCGTGTGTGTTTTCCTAGAAAAACGTTTGGATACACGCTGACATCTCACCAATGACTGTCTCTGGAATGGCAAGTGACCTCATTTCTCCCTTTCGCTTATCTGTATTTTCCACATTTGTCTCAATGGCAATTTAGTACTATGTAAGCAAAAACAAAATATTTTAGCTTGAAAACGAAGAAATTCTTCGTTCTGTTTCCTACCTCTAAATCCATCCTAGTGACCCCGGGGTCACCAGTAAATCCCGGAACAGCCGCCAAAATGCCACCTGAGGGGGAATCCTAGAGATCTAGGCGCCTGTGCATTTGCTGTTGCTTCTAGAATGTCCTAAATGACCAGGAGTCATTTGGAGAAGCGTCTCGTTGAGTTTGGGATGGAAATAAGTAAGGTCACATGCGTCCGTGAAGTGGTGAGGGGCTCATTTTACCAGGCCCAAAGCCAGCGCCCAGACGCATTGCCCAGATGTGCTCACGGGTGGGAAAAGGGCTTTTCCCCCAGGCCTGGGGCCTCCCCCGCGGAGGCGCACCGGGGACGGGAGCGCGGGCTCTGCAGTCAGCCCCGCACAGCCCCGCGCGGACCCCACAAGGCACGGCCGCGCCCACGCGGTCTCCGACCCGCGGCCTGGGTGCCCGGGCAGCTCCGGGCCTGCGGCTCCCGCCCACGGGGGCAGCGCGGGGACGCTCTTGCGCGAGGCTCTGACCTCAGTGGCCGGCACTGCCGGGAGGCGACGCGGCAGGCGCTCCCTAGCCACCGAACGAAGGAGTGGGCGAGCCCACCGACGAGGCCGGCCGGAGCCGCGGGTCCGCCACCCGCCCGGGGGGACAGCGGCATCTGCCGGGCAGCCGGGAAAGGCGGCCCTTCGCGGGCAAGCGGAGCCGGCAGCTTCTGCAGGAGCCTGCAGCCCGCACCCGCGCAGCACCCGGCGCCCCCGCGAGCACCCGGGGCTCACCACCTGCGGGGAGGCACTACTGCAAGGACCCCCGACCCGGATAAGCCCGGCAGAGGATGGGTGGCGCAGGAGACTCGCCCCCGGGGTGGGAAGACCCCCCGGAAACAGCCCCCCCGGAGATGCCAGGTGTGGAGCAGATGTGCACACGCGAGAGCGTCCCCCGTTAACATAATGTCACATTTTCAAAAGTAAAGGGGGGCCCAGAACATGGAAGTCACTAGGCATTGCCTTCACGCCCAAGACCACAAAGCCACAGCCCCGCTGCGTGTGGCTCGAGCGGCTGCCGCCCCGGGGCTTGGGGACACGAAGGACATCGGTGCCCACGCCTCCACAGCGCCATCGCGGCGTGCACCCTGCGGCAAAACCAGCCAAGTGTGGCCTTGCCCGCGACAGGCTGAGGAGCTGCCGTGTGGACGGGGGGCCGCCACGGGCAACGCCGGGAGACCCTTCGGGTCGCCGAGGGGCAGGGTAGAGGAAGGAAGGGTGTGGCTCCGGCCGCAGCAGTCGGATGGGGAGAAGTGGGGTTGACGCTGGGCAGAGTCCCTGGCCCACCCTCCTCTTGGGTCCGGTGGGGAAGTGAGGGAGGAGGAGCCTTGACTTTCTCTCTGCTTCCGAGCTTTGCTTCTCTGTCTGCAGAGGGGGAGGGTTGTTCTCAAGACCGCAGGTTTCCAAGGGCTCGTCCTGGGCCCCCGTGCTGGGCGTCTCTCCGTGATTAGGAAACCCGTCTAACCCGTGGGACAGAGCTGGGTGGCTTCCGCTGGGGCGCTAGCTGTGGGGCCAAGGGAAGGGCTGAGGCCCCAGACACTCTTGGAGACCGCGCTGGCCCAGTAACGGGCCGTGTGTTAGACAAGGAGAGAAGGCACGCTGACCCCAAAGCTTGGGGCCTGAGTGTCCTTAAGAAAGGAGCTGCCACCTACTGCGATGGGGGGACTGGGGGAAAGATCAAAGCTCCGCGTACTGAGTTTGAACCCCCTGCTGAACATCTAAGCGGAAAGGGAGGTCTGGTTGCCTGGGGTCACGCAGGGAGAAGGGGGGAGGTCCGGGGGCTCCCCCCTTTGGCAGACAGGAAGACAGAGCACCAGGAGGACCCAACCAGGAGACCAGGAGGCGGATCACAGCGAGGCAAGACGGAAGAGATGTTGTTCTGGAGGCCACGGGAGGAACGCGGCCGATTTTCCTAAACTGAAGGGTCGACATGCGTCCTGAGGCGCTTCTGCCTCTGGCAATATGGGGCCCCTTAGAATTCTTGGCAAAGAAGATTCGGGGAAGTGTTGGGTTGACGAGCCAGGTCGGTGTGGATTCAAGAGGGAATTTTAGGGAGAAAACGCAGACAGCAAGAAAAGAAAGCCCACCTTGTCGGGCGAAGCGAAGGGGGTCTGCTTGCTAGTGGGAGACAAGGAGCTGCGGGCCGAGAGGAGACTCGGCAGGTGCGAGGTCTTCAACGGGGGGCGGAAGGGGGTGCAGCACAGGTCGGGGGCTGGCCCGCACAGGAGCCGGGACAGCGGGCGGGGGGGCCCTGCGGGCAGGCTGGCGGAGCTGGTGGCCGGCGCGGCGGGCGAGCTCCTGGTGAGGCCACCTGAGAAAGAGCAGGGACGACGTTGTGCGCGGTGCAGGGTGGGAGCAGAGAGGAAAGACGCCCCCACGGCTGTGACGGGAACTGGGGAGGACTTCCCTGGAGCCCCCGGGGCCCCAGCTGGGACGCAAGGCTGGAATCACGGAATCCGAGTCCTCCAGGCGAGCACCACGAGCCCCAGTTCCGGGAGAAAAGACAACGCAAAGCAGCGAAGGGTGCTCGAGGAGGCGGTGATGGGGGACAGCCCGCAAACCGACGCGGGGTGAGAGGGAGACCTGCCATTTCGCCCTCTCAGGACAGCACCGGGAGCCGCCTCCAGCCCAGACCCGGTGCCTCCCGCGCTGGCCCTACGCGGAGCCACACTCCCTACGCACTGCACTTCTCCTCGAGAACTCACTCTCCACTTTCTCCCTTCAGACTCACCTGTAAAATCACCTCCTCCAAAATACGGAAACGTGCGTTCTGGTGAGAGCGCCTGTCGGAGGCGGCGGACAGAACCTGCCGGGGGTGCGGACCCCTGCTGCCTCTCCTGGGCAGCGACCGGGCAGCCCTCCCAAGCGCCTGCCTGCCTGCCCGCACACACGCACGCAGACCCCTCCCCAACAGCCGGGGTGCAGCCCTGTGCGGGGACCAAGCGTGGAGGGAGGAACCCCTGAAGGAGCCCCCTTCCACCTAGTATCTCCCACTCGCTACCTGACACCGAGAGGCATTTTCAGCCCCATCTTCGGCAGAGATCCCATCACTCAAAGCCAAGGCCAGGTTTTAGACAAAGAACAACTTACCCATGGATTAAAACGGAAGAAACATGGTTTTGGCTTTCTTTAGTCACTAGCCATCTTCAGATTCTGATTTAGGGTTAAAAATTCCATTAGGTCGGATCTGAGAAATTAATCCAACCGCACAGACCTCTGATAAGCATCACTTCCTGCTCAGCTTTCCCCCCAATTAGCCTCTTCTCTTGCCTCCTCTCCTCCCCTCTCACCTCACGCCGGGAGAAGAGCGGTGGAATGTACCGCGGGAGGTCTTCAGCAGGAACATTTTTGTCAGTGAGGCCCTGGCGGGTGCTTGGAGCAGAGCCAAGGCCCTCCCGCTGTCCGGCCTCCTGCTCGCGGGGGCACCATGGTCATCCCCTCCGTGTTGGCCTTTGTCACTAGGATTCAAGTAGCCCACGCAGAGGTCAAACGAGAGAAGGGACCTCGGCCTTGAGTCCCGCCACAGGGGCCAGGGTGGAGAGTGACGGTCACTCCTAAGCTAGAACACGGGTGGTTCTCTTTCATGCCACGAAGGGCACGGAGACCTCAGTCAAGTGAGCCCCTATCACCCACACAACTCGAGGGACTGCCAGGGCCGGCACGGGGTCACAAGTTACCAACACTGTTTCGCTTGATCGTCACAAGATACGCCCCCTTCCCACAGGTGAGAAAGGCGGGTTTCGGGAGGTGAGGAGAGGTGCAGCCACTAAGCGCCTCCCGCCTGAACCCCGTCCCAGCACAGGGGTGTGCACGCCAACACCTGGGTCTCCTCAAAGATTTCCTGCAACGGCTGGGGCGGGGTGGCGGGTTATTTTCAAAAGACTTTGTTTTCAGAACAGACCGGACATTAGGAGCGATCTGTAGCAACATGGAGAGCACGGATGACGCAGGAAATGGGGTACGGACACCCAGCAGGGCGCACCGTGCGACTTCCCGAATGGAAACCGGGCGTCACACGCAGCGGCAGCATGTGGGCGTGACATTACGGATGACTGTTCTCCGGCTTCAGTGTACAAACGTCCCTTGAAGAGTTTTAACAATTATTTGTAATGCCTTAAAAAATATAAAAAGAAAATATAACTCGCCCACTTCCCACAAAAGAAACATACTGTCAGCTGAGACTCTGCAGACCGTGGAACGTGGCTGAAGACGAGCGGTCGCTCTGACCTTCCTGCGGGTCCACTAATTAGAGACCATCCCCAAGCCGATGCCTACGGCAGAGGGGGCACATCTGCGGGCCTGGGGACAACCCCCCACTCCTCAGGGGAAACACCACCCAGTCTCCCGCGGGGCGGTCGCAGTGCTGTCTGTCCACGTGGCTAAGACGAGGGACTGACCGCGTCTGAGTGGCGAGATCAAAGAAAAGCTACAGAACAAAAGCGGGAACTGCGAAGTATTTTATTAACACATCTTCCAAATTACAGTACAGTTCGAGACACGTCTTGGTATGGAATCACACAAACGATACACACACAATACATTTTTTCCAACCATGTCACTACTGTTCTTCACATATATTCCTTATAAAGCTGTCACAGCCTTCAGTGCACAGTGAAAACTGGGGTAAAGCAAGGCAACGCCATCTCCCACAACGGTAAGTGTAGTGTTTGGAAGAGAACGTGAAGGAGAGCAACCCAGAGGAAAGCAGTTCAGTCCTCTGGTGGTTTCTGAACTCTCAGTGCACTCCCAGTAAACACAGCGTCAGACTCCACCTCGGAGCCGGCAGAGACCGGCTCGGCAGCGCGTGCGCATTACGGTTAGGAAGGATCACAGCGAGAGCAGTAACAAAGGGTCAAACAGGCCGCCACTTCAGCGGAAAAATAGGCGCATCACAACTAACACTGAACTCATGCACAAGAGGTCCTGCAGAAGTAGAGGGTGAAAACAAGGGGGAGATTAATCACACGCTCCCCGCAAGCGGCACGACGCCGGCGGCTGGGGGGCCCCACACTCCTACAAGTCAAACTGCAAAATAATAGAATTCAGACGTTATTCTCTCCAACAGAGACCTGGGGGAACAAAGCATGAGTAAAAACCTGTCAAAGCAAAGGAGAAGATGCAATCGATTTTAAACACCGTGCAAAAATATCCACAACATTCTCGTAGCCACCCCCCCACCCCCACCCCGAGAGGAATTCTAAATGTTAAGACGGGACAGAGGAGCAAGAAAGAATGTAGCACCATCAGCAAACGGAGAAGTCCATCACCAAAGGCAGGTGGGGAGGAGGAGAAGGACATCCAGAGATGACGAAGTCAAAGAAAGGGATTTTCCAGAAGGGGAAAGGAGCCCTCAGTGGTGGCTGGTCGACGGGTTTGGGGAAGGAAAGTGCAAGAGAACAGAAGGAGGGGGGGGCACGCAGGCCCCAGAGGATGGAGGCGCCCAACACGGAGAAGCAGCTGGGAATGGAAAGATTTCAGGCTTCGCTGCTGTCGAACCTGGAAATTAAAGTGTAGAATTAAAGACGAAGACGGAGAGTGAAAATCCTCACAGAGGAAAAGCGATTCTGGATCCCATGCCTGTGAAAAGCAAAGATGGATTATCAACATGAAGTCTCACTCGCCCTTCAGTTCAGAGTATAAATGTGTGTTGCTGATTCAAAGACCTACGTTAGACAGTCTAAGGTAATACTGCAGGGCATAAAACTGAAACAGTCCCTTAAAAATCAGCTTCCGCTATGTGTGCCCTTATGAAGAAAACTAATTTTAAAGGAAAATCATGCTAAAAGAATGTCAGGGTCTACTTTCTAGAGTATTATTACTAAATACAGAATATATTAAAATAGTACATCTGTGCACTCTGTGCAATGTATTAAAAATTTTAAACTACATTGTTTCTTTTTAAAGGGCCTGTATTTTTCTACATACGTTTTAAAATTAGCAAAATAAAACAGAGCAAAACACCAACATGATCTTTTTACATTTTAGTTGGTTAGAAATAAAAGGGAAAAGCAACTTCTCACTAAAGAAAGATACCTGCTCTACCTGCCCATCTTAATGAAAAGATTTCCTACCACAACACGGCACAGAAAAGAGAGAGTTAAGAGTTTTAAAAACATCCTCTAGAAAAGGCAGGTTACAACGTGTAAAACCAATGATCCTTCCCAACCATACGCTACCAGAAGAAGGTATACCTGGGATCCAATATGAATCAGTGAGTTTTGCTTTGGTTCTAGGACACAAAACCATGGGCGCTTTAAATGATGACAATTAAATAGGTTGCAAAAAAACCTTACACAAAATCCTTAGGATTTACTAGTGATTCAAGGCCAAATGCCTTTGGAGAGTTCATATTTACGAATGTCCAAAATAACACTTCATTTACAAGTTTTAAAAATAGTTGAAAAGGTTAATCGAAATGCTCATGAAACACAGTAAAATATCTAAACTTTCCCCTACATGATCTAAGCTCCTGTGGCTTCCTTCACGGGGGAGGGGGGGGGAAACAAGTGGCTCCTGGCCCCGTCTCTATCACCCGCCCCCTCCTGCCGTTCAGGAAATTCCCTTTTAGAATGATGTCACTTAAAAACTTGTAAAGAACCAAGGGCTACCTCTCAGAAGCCCCCCCAACTCCAAATAAATAAATAAAAAAGGTGGAGGGGTGGGACTCTACCTGACTAAAGGAAGTAAAATTAGGTCTACCAGTGAATATGTGAAACCAGAACAGTCCTCCAAGCAGGAAGGGAGGAAAAATTCAAAATGACCCCGAGAAGGGCAGTGTGCCAGTCAGGGAGCCCAGAGCCATCTGCTGAGGGCAGCGCAGGCTGACGGGGGATGCAAGTCCTGTCGGCGGGGCGCGGGGGCTCTCTGAGGAACTGCGAGGGACAAGGAGGCTCGAGGGCGCTCCAGGCACTGGGCACGCAGGCCTCTACCAAAACCCGACCGTCCGCAACAGGGTCCCTGTCAGTCCAGCGGTCTACCAGCATGGTGAGCTTACCTTCAATTAAATAACAAAGAAATTAATTAAAAAAACAACAACAACAAAATAAACAGAACAAAACAGAAAACCACAAGCCAAAAAAAAAAAACAAAGAAAGAAAGAAAGAAAAAAAGAACGGAAATGATAGGTTCTCAAAACCAACCCTCTGAGCAAGGCCCTGCCTCTGTGCATCTCTACCCGATGGCAGCCAGTCCAGCCTCCTCCTGAGGAAGAAGAGCTCAAGGCCCAGGCAAGGAAGGGTGGCTATCCCTGACGGGTGGACACCCTCCCGTCCCCCAGCGACAGCCGTCTGCGAGCCCACTCTCCCGTCTCCCAACGTGACTGGCTGACTCCTCTTAAAAGAGTCTGTGTGTCCAAAGTTCATTATAATACTCATTACAACTCCTCATTCTGCAAAGCTCTCCTCCCCACCCTCTCCATCATTCCTCACTCCGTCCACCCTGGACAGCTCTCCCAATCTCCTTCCACGGGCAACAAAGTCTTCTGTTTGCAAACTGAGGAAAATGCTCTTTGAAAAAAGACCCCTGGGTGCAGGATCTAAGCTGTCACAATTTAGAAATGCTACAGAACCAAGCGCCAAACAAACAATTGTTTATCCAGGACCATTACAAATCAAAAGAATGACCCAAGAAAAGTAGTTCTTATGAAGACCCCCAACCCCTCCAGTCCCCCCTGGGGCAAGGATACCGGCACCTACTTATGATGCTGCCTGCCAGAAAGGGGGGGAAGCCCTCAACATTTCCTTTGGGGAAAAAACAGGATTTCTCCTTTAGAAAAGTATCAGTAGAAGGACTTAACAAAGTGGCCGGACCAATGGTAATGCAAGGTTATGCTCAGATAAGCGGCTACGTGATCTTATATTACAGCACAAAATCAAAACAAGACAATGCAAAAAGAAAAAGTAACTTGGCTCCACATAATCACCTATTATGTTTACTTTATGCGATATATTGATATTTACTGACTTTAAGCTTCTTGAACTTGGGAACAAATAATACACAGGTCAGGATAAATGTATTGACTTACTACCATCTTTATAAAAATCGAATATACACACAAACACATCAACAGTTATGGAACTGTATCCATGTAACTCTGATAAGACAACACAAGAGAACTAACAAAGAGCTAAGATTGTTGCTGAATTGAAAGCATTTCCAATAACATTTTAATTTTAAAAGGTCCGTATTTACATAGTATGTTAAATGCTTCTGCATCTCATTTTAAATGCATGATAAATAAAGAACAAAGATAATGGTTGCAACAGATCTTCCAAGAGGGTTCAGCTGACGGTGGCCTGATTTCTCTGCGGAAAGCGCACCGACCACGGCAATAACGTTCCTTTCTAATTCTGCTTCTTTCCTTTTCCACAGTCCCCTTCCAGGAAACTAAGCCTTTGCTCCCGGGCCGGGGCGGGGGCGGGGGCCGTGCCCAATGGCTGGGCGCACGGAGGCGGCGGCGCTGAGCCTTCTAACCCCCTGGCCCAAGGCCTTCAAGACCGTCACAACAAGAGAAAGCTTCCGTGTGTGCAGACAGTTACGGACACACACGTCCCGGACACCCGTGTCCCACTAGACAATGCCAGCAGCAGACCTGAGAGGAGCCACAGGTCCGTCTTTGGCAGCGGTGCCCACGTAGGACCGATTAGTTTATCGGCACTAACTAGAAGAGAGCGTGTTTCTGTGCCTACTTTCCGGACACCAGTGCAGCTCTTTGGTGTCAAGACCACAGCACAGACTACCCCATCTTAGGCATCAGTTGGTCCTCGGTGATAAAGGAAGTCCATCAACTGAGAGCCTGCGCACCGCCCCGCATGGGGAAGTGCTCTGAGCTCTCGCAAGGAGAGCTTCCAGGCTGCCAAGCTCTTCGCTGCAGTGCAGCTCTTGGCGGACTGAACCAGATAAACTACGCTTGTAAATCCACGAGCACATCCGTATCTACTTGTGACAAGAGCGGGCAGGACAGCCCGTGGCAGCCGGCTGCGGGCAGGCGCGCGGCCCTGACTGTGGACCCTCCACCGGGGCGGCAAGGCAGCCCTGGCACGTGACACGGCCTTCCGCAGCGTCGTCAGGGCCTTCGGGAACCAGCGGGGCCGGGCGCCTCGGCTGGAGGCTGTTCTAGCGTAGCCTAGGAGTGCCTACTTGTTCCTGGCCCCAACATCTTCTGAAAAGCAGCCATCTACAACCACTGCATCTTCTGGGCTCTGACCGCAGGACCAACGCTGCAGCAAGCCTCACGGGGTCTGGACACGCCCCTCCCGTTCAGGTAACTTCAACTGAAGAGACACTAGAGAATGTCACCTTTGGGAACAAGGCAACACAGGTTCCCAGGGCCTGTGTCCCAGCCCCCCCAGAAGGCAGAGAGGCGGGGGACGCCTGGCCGCGGGGGCTTCGGGGTCCACGGCGGGTCTGCGCTGGGCTACCCGGAGGCATTAGGTGGCAGCGGGCTACTGCTTCCTCTAATTCTGCTATTAAATCTGACAGGAAATCTTAGGTATAAAATACAGCTAAAAAGTCAGAGTATGCCCTAGTATCTAATACTTGCTCAAAGAGCTCACTCAGGTCCACATTAGTATAAATCCACAACAGTGAAATCTCCTTCGTGAGCAGAAATACTTAATAAGGCACTTTTTTAAACATTTGCCCAGAATGAATTTTACTAAAGGGTTGCTTTATGGGGAACAAGTGTCTCACCTAAAGGAACCTACCCAGAACTCCTCAACCAGGCTCACTGGCGCTACGAACCCATGTCATTTCCACGCCGGGCTTGGCGGTCCCTCAGGCCACACTCCACGAGGGGGGACCTGCTCCTAGTCTGCGGAAGGACGGTGCAGCCCTGCTCCAAAAGCCTTCCAAAACAAGGAGTTAATCGAAGCAATGATAACCAGGTTCCGAAAGAATGTCATATGTCGCCGAGCCAGGGACACAAATAAGCCCCTTTGGGCTGCATTTAAAAAGAGGGAAAAAAACCCCACACAGGTCTGTTCAAGCTCCGGGCCGTCCCTCCACCTCGTGCGGTAGATATGTGGTGTCGCCCGCCCGGCAGGGGACTCCGGAAGGGCTGCAAGGTGGCAGCGCTACGGGCACCTTCTCTAGGCCCGGGGAGGCGGGGCGGGCCTGCCAGGACCGCTGCCTGATTCGGGAAGGGTGCCAAGGGGTGGGGAGTCCCGTCTGGAGCTGGGAGCACACAGTCAGTGCTTTTGGAGTATTCACAAGAAGCAGAATCTGCCACACACTGGCACCGCTCCCAACCACCCTCATACCCTGCTTTCCAGGGTATGCAACTGTCAATCACAATCACCCACATTTTCATCTACGTTTTTCCAAGAGCCTTTTGAGGGCTTTCTGAGAAGACAGCGCAAGTTACGCTTGGCTGGGAAAACAATTGTCTAGCCTGCACTGAAGATAAGTGCAACCATTATCAAGTATTCTTTGTTGTGAAAAACTACTTAGAATTGGTGACGTTAATGTTCCTTCCTGAATCTAAGTCACTGTGATCGACCACACAGTACGATCACGAAGAACGATGTCTACATGCATTGTGAGCACTTTGAAAACAAAAGCAAACGAAAACTGTAGTTCTCTGTGGTGACAACAGAACGTGAAGCAGTCTAACAGCAAACCCCAGTCCGCCGTGTCCCCAAGTCCAGCTCTGCGGGAATCAACACTGGGCCGTGCGGCGCTCCACACAGCAGTTACGCAAGACTGCGGACGGAGAGGCCTGCGCTTGAGGGGATCCTGTGCTGCAGCTCCCTCGGAGAAATCCCACAGCGCGGGCAGCGTCAGGTCAGCGTCTCCTGCTAGAAATCACTCAACAATCAGGGCCACATTTATGTGGGACAAATCTATCATGTGCCTGTGGAAATGCAAACAAACAGTCAACATCAACTGAACTCCACACATCAGCAGTCAACTTAGCAAGGTACAAGAAAACTACAGTGGTGGGTCCGGATTAACAAAATTAGATAAAAATGCAGACAGAGAAGATCAATACAGAAACGGGGGGCTGATGACCCACATTACAGAAGGGTGCACCGTGTGCGCTCTTTCCTACGGCAGCAGGTGGGCACACGCACGCGGGCCAGACCACAGCTGCTTTGGCGGAAAGGCTCCCACCCACTTCCACAGCACCCTGACCACGGAATACACCGGCTACCTGTGGAATTTCTGTTGAAATGCTAACGCATGAGCTGGTTCCTTGAACTTAGCTATGGCTTTCCGTTGCTGGGGAAGCATCTGTAAACTCTAGAGGAAGAAAACAGAAATGTTTTAATATCATGTTGTACATGCTTAAAAAAACCCCAAACACCCAACATATTTATACATTAGCTTTAACACAAAATTCAAGTCCAGGCTGACACTTGGATCACTGAGGAAAATTCTATCTCCCTAGCAATTTTTCTGATCCACATAATCTATCCCAGAACGGTCATTCCCATGAATGGCATGGGAGGATTCCCAGCCTGGTGTTTGTCCGGCCATGTGAGCCACTCAGTCTTCTCCCTCAACCTTCTTTGTGAGGCCCGGTGGCAGACACTCTTGGAGAGTCACTTCCTGTCCACATGCCTTTCTGCCAGGCAATTCTCTGCAGGGCCCTCACTCAACTTTTTAAAAGAGCAATACTCATCACACAGGAGGAAACTGCTGTTTAGCAACGGGACCCCACATTTACCACTGGGGTAAAATGAGGCTCTTCTACATCTAGCTAGGTCCCAACGAGGCACAGCTTCACCAGTGGTGGCTGTCGGCACAATCTGCTCACATTTTGTACTGACAAGATGATTACTAAGTGACACTGCAAATTAAATCTTCAGGAGCTAAAGCAACCATTCCAGAGGCCACTACTCTCTGCAGCAAAAACCAAGTTAGTTTGGGAAGACGACAGGCGGAAAGAAATGATCCAACAAGTGAAGAGAATCTTACTCGTCTGAAAGGCAAGCACTGGACAGAGGTATCTCATGCCTGGTCCTCACACCTGCCCGGAGGAGGACCCGTGGCTCTGAGTTTTCCCTGAGGCCTTGCGGTTTAGGATCCGAGGATTCCGCAGAAGCAGGTCAAAGGTGGAGACCTGTGTGATCTCTCAGCCATTCCCACTCTCAAGAGCCTGATGTTTCCCAAATATCCTGGTGATGGAGCCAGCCCAGCACGTGTATCTGGGGCACCGTGCAGGCTCTAGCCTCCGCAAAGGGCAGGGCACACGGCAGCTGAGGCGGGACCCTTGCTCACCCCAGGACACACTGCCCCAGGGAGAGCACAGGACTCGATGCCTCAGTGTTTGGGCTTCTGTCTAGTGAAGTAGGGCAGCCAGAAAAAAAAACCTGATGGTAACACATGACCTTTAAAGTGTTGACCTATGAGACTATTTAATTTTAAAGTATGTGTCAAAGATCTACAGTGGAAATACATGGCTAAAAATACCAAGTACTCTTCATTTTTGTAACCACAGAACGTCTATCAGTTAACACAACTAGGAGAGCTCTAAAAAAGGAGCCACCTTCCCCAAAGTCACCTTTTGGCGTTTCACAAAGAAATAAACCATTTCAAGTCTGCCAACTACATGGCGCTAAGCTGTGCACACAGACCCCTGGAGGACAAGCAGTCAGCCTGGGGGCTGGGGACACCGCCCCGACCTGACCACGGACCAGGAGCGTGGACGCGCAGGCAGTGGGGGCGGCCCCTTGGGCAGTGCTGAGCTGGGTCCACCCGCCCACTGTGCTGAAGCAAGCTTAGCAGAACACTAGATTCCTCCTCTTCTTTGGGATATAAAAACCGGAAGACGAATTTTCTTGACGATTTCACTTATCATTAAATTAACAGCACACCTAAAGCGCCATAAGGTGGTCTTTAATGATGTCATCGACGCCTCCTTCTGGGCTACACCCTCGGCAAGGCAGCTTCCCTGGCCTCGGACGCACGCCTCGAGTACCGGACAGAGGCCCGCTTTCTCTTCCAAGCCGCCTGCCTCACCTCGCTGCTCACGCCGTCCGTGCCTCAGCCCTGAAGGAGTTCCGGTTGTTGCAGCTGGAGCTCGGTCATCGGGTGGGGCGGGGACACTATGGGCGAAGAACCGAGCCTCGGTTCGCGGCAGAGCCAGCTGCAAATCCCACCTCGCCCTGGAGCACCCGCACAGGGCCCGCTGCTAGGCCCTTCTTTCTGGTCCTGTGTGCCTTTGGCCTGCTCTCCTTCCCCTCCAGCCACAGCGTCGCAGGCGCCGAGGGCCAAGAGCGGCGCCCCCACGGTGACTGCGGCCAGCACTGGGACAGACCTCATGCACGCGTCAGAAGACTTAGCTAAAGTCACCTCTAAACCTTGAAGAACTGTATTAGGAACAGACAGGAAAAACTAATTTCTTACTGGCATGCAGGGGGAAAGCACCCCAACCTTCATCCTGACTTCTCATTTTCAGATGTGAGACCACTTCACTTCCTGAGAATAACTGTGCCTCTCTAAGGAGCGAAATGCACGATGAAACTTCGGCTGGCAGCTGCAGCTGCCTGCCACCCCCACGGGGCCGGTCCGCTCCGCCTGACACGCAACAAGGCGAGCAGTGACAGGCTCTCCAGCCTGCGGCTGGATTCCAGAAGATGTCCACGTCGCTCAGAACCCCGGCCTCCTTCCCCAATTAGGAACAGTTCCTTGTCTTTCTAGGAAGTGCCTGTGTGTGTGCATACGGTCAGATAAACGTCACAGAGACACTAACAGGGTTCTGCCGCTCTGAAAATCTGTTTAGACTCCTTCCCCTCCGGGGACGCCTGGCTGGCTCAGTCAGTTACACGTCTGCCTTTAGCTCAGGTTACGACCTTGGGGTCCTGGGATCAAGCCCCACACCCCCCTGGGGCCCTCCCCCCCAACTCCTGCTCGCTCTCTCTCAAATAAACAAAATCTTATAAAGATAAACGAGTAAGCTTCCTCCCCCAGCACCTTCAGTGATTACTTCAAGCCAAGCATTGTATCAGGTGCTTTAAACGCAAGTGAAACTGCTTGGGAGCAGCCCCCCTGCAGCCCTGACCCAGACGCCCGCGGTGGGCGCCCCTCTGAGGCCAGCCGAGAGCCACGGAGAGCGCAGAAGTCCCCCGCTCCCGGCCCGTGCCGCCGACCTGTTCTCCTCTGTGCCCGGTAGGCCTGCGTCCCCACACGGCGGCACGCGGCACCGATGGCAGCAAGTGTGCCCTGCGCGGCGGGCAGCCACGGGCTCCCACGGGCTCCCACGCCTCCCACGCCTCCCAACGCACACCTGCCGCTGCTCCAGTGCCCAGCCGGCGTCGTTCCCAAAGTCCCGGGGCTCCGGCTCGCCCACCTGGGGCTCCGCATCCCAACGCTGCTCGTGCTGATCCCGATGGTCCCGCCTCTCCCTCGCTGCTGTCCCAGCCTCCTTCCGCTGCACACACCTACCCTGCAGAACCCATGCACGCTCTTGGAAGAGCTCTCGGGCTGTCACACTGGCTCCTGAAAATCCGTTCTTCTTTTCAGTTCCTGACGGTGTTTTCAGGACTTTTTTTTTCCCAGTGCAGGTTCAGATCATGTGTCCACATCTCTGTTTTCTTTACACCTCGTGGCGTGGGTCTGTAGTCCGTCTACGCTGACCATACCTAGTGCTTTCTTTCCCAGATGTCCTCAACTACTACAAAATGACTGAACTGCTTTCACTCGAGATTCAAACCTTTTCTATTTCACCGACCAGACCTCCTTGGTGGGTCAGAACGAGATGCATCTTCAGAGCAGGTCAGACTCCCCCGACGTGAGCCTACCTCGCAGAAGCGCCCAGAGGGGCCCCACCTCGCTGCGCAGGCTGAGATGCACTCCAGAATGAGACACACGGGAACCGCAGTGTCAGGAGGCAGTGGGCAGACTCTGTGGGTCCCGGAGGGCTGTTCAGGAGCACGCACCATCTGGGCCAGCAGCCCCCACTCCGAGAGCACACGCAGACGCTGGGCGCGCCTGCACCTGCAGCTCGTCTCGTCCTGTCTGGCTCGCTGCCCCTCAAGGGCGACATGCAGGCTGCCGTCTCTTCCTTCCCCCGAGGTTTGCCAGGGCATGACGGAGAGCTACGAAGGAGCAGGGTAAGTTCTCATGTGGGTGACGAGTGTCTGACGGGAGGAGAAGCGCTCTGTCCGAGAATTACACACCAAGAACCGGCAAAATCGGGACTTGCCCCGAAGCCTCGTCTCAGAGCCGGACGCCGGCTGCACCCCTGGCTGCAGGGTGAGGGCCCCATGCAGCGTCAACAACAAGCTGCCCGGGTCCACCTCTACTCTCGTCCCAGCTCAGGAACGACTCCCAGGACTGCCAGGACAAGTGACTACAGAGGGCGGCGGAGAGAAGAACGTGCACGGCACGGCTGCCCGCTTATGTGGGCGATGATCACAACGGGGAACCGGCCGCAGAGTCCCATTAAGTGATTTCAAACATTCTGCTTTTGTGAGGAAGCCACTTTATTTTTACACCATGACATTTTATTGATTTATAGGATAACAAATTTTCTTCTTGGCACCATTTTAGGCATAACCTAGCAAACGGGGAAATAAAGACAAGCAACAAAGCCACAGGTGTGCTAACCAGCTTACTTCCTGACCCGAAGAGCTCCGTTGGCTTCTGCGTTTCGGGACGGAGCAGGAGGTCAGGGTCACTCCTGCGGGAAGCCAGGCAGGTCACCAGGGGGCAGATGCCTCCCGCTGGGTCTGGGGACCGAGGCACGGCCTTCTCGCAGACTCAGACTCGCACCATGGCTGCTACCGAGTGCCGCGCGGCCCTCTCCCCTGCAACTCTGAACACGCTCCGGTACTCTTCCCGCCGTGGCTACCTCCTGCTTGTAACGTGTCTACAAAATCCTTCCGTCTTTCCTTACTCTGTGAAGACTGAGTCCATACAGGACTTTAACACAGACTTTCTAGAGAGGTCTCGGAGTACCGTTTAAGGGGATAGCGCACTAATCTGAGAGAAACGTGGCCAGCTCGTCACAGTGCACTGTCACCCTCAGAAAGCCTCCCAGATTTCACAGCTCACACGCCGTCGCTGTGATTTTACAAAGGGCTAGACACCACCGGCTATTACACCAAGTGGACGCTAGGTGGCGCCAGAGTCCAGGGCACACAGAAGCTCCGCACAAACCTACCTCCCGTCAGGACCGCAGAAGGTTTGGGTTACCAAGCGCCATCCTTTCTCCAAGTCTATTCATACTTAAACCGTAAGTGAGTCTTGTTAAAATGTGTAATCAATATCACTCTTTAGCTATCTCACACTCGCAGGGACGTGTTACGTTGTTTTATTATTTTTTTTAATTAAGAAACTTGACATTCTGTGAATGTGGTGTTTAAAAATTTATAAACTCCCCCTCAAAACAATCCTATGGGACTAAGACTGGCAAGACGTGAGCACTCTGCTTTGTTCCCCCCAGGGTGGAAGAACAGGCCCTTATCTAAGTGCTAAATTCATCATTCCACAGGGGTTTCTCCAGGGGCAGATGGAAGCTCACCTTCCACCCCATCTTAAGGGTAACTGATGGAACCTAGAAAATTCATTCTCCTCCTCCTATAATCCAACACTGTTTTTGTTTGGCTTTAGGTTCCCTCAATCAAATTTTATTTATAACATACTGATCTCTAATACTTTTCAGAACAAAAAAAGATAGGCCCCAAATGCAAAATTCAAAATTCAAGTCTCAAGGTGGGTTAAGACCAGAGTTAGGTGGCTTAGCAATGGCTCCGAGCAGCCCATGACCCTGCACCGCTACTCAGACACAGACCCTGAAAACCACATCCTGGCTGAGGACGCTCAGAATTATCAAGACTATGTGTGAGGAAGCAAAGCCACGACCACCAGCGGATCACGTGTGGAGGGCGGCCAAGCTGTCACCCCCCAGCGCACATGGAGAGAGACTGCCCGCGAGCCCTCACGGAGAACACCAGTCCTCAGAACTCCTGGAGTAGGCTCTGGTCTGCTAGTCCGGACTCACTGTGACTGCAGCCCAGATTCTCCACCACCACGTGTGGGAGTCTCAGGCCAGGATGAGCACGCATTAATGCACCTACAACACTCCAGTGTTGCCCTGCTCCTGCAAGTCTGTCCCCATCGCGGTGACCCGCGGGAAGGGGCTGTCGGCCCCACGTAACCGGCACTGGTCTCTGCCGCACCACCGCGCGATCGACTGCACTGAACACGGAAGCCCAAGTGTTAACTTTCTGTTATGACACACAAATAGAAACTGACCCTCACCATCTCCCTAGGAATCCGGAAATGAAGAACAGGGTGGGTTTGGGAAGGGCTTTCATCCACTCCTCACATTTAGAGACTCTCAACAGTAGACGGATTTCAAACATGTTAAAAATTGTCTCAACTCTAGTCTGATGTTTCCCCATTCACTCATGCAGCAAGAGGCTAGAAAATCCCCTGAAAGGAAAGCACGCAGAAATCTGATATTCACACTCCACGTCTCGCCCACGTGGGACCTGACCCAGAGAGACCAGAGGCTCAAGGAAAACCAGGTCAACCCGCTTCTCTGCTGGTTGACCTACAGGACTCAAGAAGATGCAGAGACCAGGGGTCTGAGTGGAGAATTCTGTTTACTGCAGAACTGGAGACAATCTGCAGCCAGCTCAGCAGAGACTGTTGAGCATTCAGAAATAACCCGTTGTAAAACAAAGAGATCAAACTATAGTCTACGTTACTTCATGTTTGTAAAATCTAAACCAAGTTTCATAGTTGTTAACATGTGAGCTATTTCTGGAAATTATGGTTAAGAAGGCTAAATGCTTAAAAAGTTTTAAGTTACTACAAACAAAAGTGTGTGACAACAAAAAGTATGTATGTACAGATGCCTATGTAAACTTGAGGAGAATAGGAGGACTTGGCAAAATCATTTCATAAGTCTCGTAATTGAGCACCTGAAAATTTCCAAATAATCTAACTCTAAGGCAAAGTTCTGATAGGGCATGCCCAGGAAATAAAATACGTCTTTCTTCTCGAATGTACTATTTTAACATGAAGTAACCAACACAGAGGGAATTTAAACCGAGACCTGAGTCTTGCGGAAGGGCCTCAGGTGACGCACCTGAATGGGGCCCACTGACATCAGTAGGTTCTTCAGCTGGACATCAGTGGTGGACGAAGAAAGGCCTTCAACAGACACGACACAGGGCTGAGGCTTACACTCCACCACTCGGAGGTTCTGCTTGTTTGGCATCAGGCGTCCCCGGCCCATCGCTCCTGCCACGCCTCGGCCTCTCCCGTGCATGAGGACCTGGCAACAGCAAAGTATGATTTGACTTTTAAGCTTTGGATTTTCTTCCCACAGCTGCTAAGATTATACAAGTGGGCAACGCAACTCAGAATCCATTACAATATACCACGAGCTCCAGGATCCTCTGTACTTTTCATCCACTACCAGAGCAGGGTTTAATGTTGAAGTGAAACCATCCCAGCAAGTCTGGGTGGAGGCAAAGGAGGGAAAGAGAAGAGCTAGGTGTGACTCTAGGTCCATACCAAGTGCAATACGGGTAGGCACTTGCAGTGTAACCACTGTTGGCAGATGAAGCAGCAGGATCAGAGGGGCTGAGAAACTTGTCTGGGTCTCGTCCTAACAGCCCCAGAGCCCAAATTTCTCCCGGCGTACTCCAGGCCACATCCATGGGGACTGGTTCCACCACAAGCCCCAACATTATGGACCCAAGTCTCCTCCTGACTCTGTGAGGCTGGCACCCTGAGAAATCTGAAAGGCAGGTTCTGTAGCTGGGGTCACCTCGCAGCTGCTGCACGTCACCATGCCACACATCACAGAGCTTTAACAACACCAACAAAATCCAAGCCAAAACAATGCCCGTGTTCCCCTCCCCACCACACAGCGATGATGTCCCTGGTCTAAAGCAGGGCCCAGACCTCAGGAGATTTTTAAGTTGTCCAGGGGTTCAAAACCAGTCTTTTAAAGAAGAGGAGACAGCTGAATCTTTCTGGTATTTTCTAATTAGAAAATTAGATAAAGCACCAAGTGCCAAATGCTTTCTCTAAAACAAAACTCCTCCTCTGCAGGTCAGTGGTGAAATGCAGGAGGCAGGTGGAACTGAACAGCACCAGGGCTTCCAGACATTCTAACCCAAATTCTGCCCTAGAACCTGGGTACAAAGGGACAAAAATGACCCCCTGTTCATCACAGAAAAAAAGGGCAGAGAGGAAGGTAAATGGAAATCAGAACGGAACCTTTGCACATGAACGGGCACCAAACAAAGGGAAATGCATACAAAACATTTAACACTCCCCAGAAGGCAACAAAACTCCGCCTGGGAAGTGAGTTTTTGAAAAGTGCAAAAGGGTATTTCAAGAGAAGTCACATTGGAAAACACATCAAAAGGTGCATGTAAATCACATCAATAAGATAAAAACCATACAATCATTTCAACAGATGCAGAAAAAGCATCTGACAAAGTATAACGTCCATTCATGGTAAAAACCAACAAAACAGGTCTAGAGGGAACATACCTCAACATGATAAAAGTTACATATGAAAAACCCACAGCCAACATCATACTCAGTGGGAAAAACAGAGCTTTTCTCCAAAGATCGGGAACAAGAAAGGGATGTCCACTCTCACCGCTTTTATTCAACACAGGACTGGAAGTCCTAGCTACAGCAATCAGAAAAGAAAAAGAAATAAAAGGCATCTAAATTGGTAAGGAAGAAGTAAAACCTTCACTATTTGCAGATCGCATGATACCACATACAAAGAACCCTAAGACTCCACCAAAAAACCACTAGAACTGATGAATTCAGTAAAGTTGCAGAATAAAAAAAATCAATATACAGAAATCAGTTTATGAAACAACATAAAGAGAAACTGAGAAAACAATCCCATTTACAGTCACACCAAAAATAAGATACCTAGGAATAAACCTAACCAAGAGGGGAAAGACCTGTTCTCTGAAAACTATACAACACTGGTGAAAGAAACTGAAGATGACACAAAGAAATGGAGAGACATTCCATGCTCATGGCTTGAAGAACAAATTATGTTAAAATGTCTATAATACCCCAAAGCAATCCACACATTTAATGCAATCCCTATCAAAATACCAACAGCATTTTTCACAGAACTAGAACAATCCCAAACTTTGTATGGAACTACGAAAGACCCCCCAAATAGTCAAAGCAATCTTGAAAGGGGAAAGCAAAGCTGGAGGCGTCACAATTCCAGACTTCAAATTATATTACAAGCTGTAGTGATCAAGAGTATGGTATTGGCACAAAAACAAGACACCTAGATTAAGGGAACTGAATAGAAAACAGAGAAATAAACCCACAACTATATGGCCAATTAATCTTTGACAAAGGAGGCAAGAATACGCAATGGGAAAAAGAAAGTCTCTTCAACAAGTGGTCTTGCAAAAACTGAAAAACCACATGCAGAAGAATGAAACTGGACCACTTCTTACACCATACACAAAAATAAAGTCAAAATGGATTAAGGACCTAAATGTGTGACCTAAAACCATAAAAATCCTAGAAGAGATCACAAGGCAGTAATTTCTCTGATATTGGTCATAGTGACATTTTCCTAGATGTGTCTCCTGAAGCAAGGGAAGCAAAAGCAAAGATAAACTACTGGGACTACATCAAAATAAAAAGCTTCTACACAGTGAAGGAAACAATCAACAAAACTACAAGGCAACCTACGGAATGGGAGAAGTTATTTGCAAATGACATATCTGATAAAGGCCTAGTATCCAAAATACATAAAGAACTGATATAACTCAACACCCCAAAACCAAACAATCCAATTAAAAAATGGGCAGAAGACATGGCCAACAGACATATGAAAAGACGCTCAACATCATGAATCATCATGAAAATGCTAATCAAAACAACAGTGAGATAATCACCTCACACCTGTCAGAATGGCTAAAATCATAAACACAACAGCTGAACTATGGAAGCAGCCCAAGTGTCCATCGAAAGATGGAGAAAAAATATGTGCTGTATGTATATGTGTGTGTATATATATATATATTACACACACACACACACACACGGAATAGTACTCAGCCATCAAAAAGAATGAAATCTTGCCATTTGCAATGATGTGGATGGAGACAGAGAGTATTATTCTAAGTGAAATAAGTCAAAGAAAGACAAACACCATGATTTCATTCTTATGTGGAATTTAAGAAAACAAATGTACAAAGAAAAAAAGAAGCAAACCCAGAAACAGACTTTTAACTCTAGAAAACACACTTGTCAACAGGGGGGAGTGGGTGGGCGGATGGGTGAGACAGGTGACGGGGTGAAGAGCACTCTTAGCACAATGAGCACGGGGTCATGTATGGAATTTTGCTGAATCACTATATTGTACACCTGAAACTAATATAACACCGATGTTAACTACAATGGAATTAGGAAAAAAGAAGTTGCAAGTAAAACTGGCTGGAAACCAGCAGTAAATATTCTTATGTTCTGGCTATAATGTCAGAATATTAATAACAATATTATTATTAATGTATATTATTTATCATGTATTATTATTATTTTTTAAAGATTTTATTTATTTATTTGAGACAGAGAGAATGAGAGCGAGCGAGCACATGAGAGGGGGGAGGGTCAGAGGGAGAAGCAGGCTCCCTGCCGAGCAGGGAGCCCGATGCGGGACTCGATCCAGGGACTCCAGGATCATGACCTGAGCCGAAGGCAGTCGCTTAACCAACTGAGCCACCCAGGCGCCCTATCATGTATTATTATTAAGGTGTATTCCTTATACACCAGGGACCATGCTTTTTATATGCATCTTCTTATGAAATCCTCCCAAGAGCCCACATGAGCTAGGAAACATTGCTGTCCTCACTTCATAGGAGAGTAGACGAAGGTTTCAGATGCACACAGCTGTACGGGGAAGGGGGCCTCTAATGTCTCTCTCCTCATGTATCGGGGGACAGCCCCTGACTGAAGCTGGTTTAGACCTGAGCAACCTTCAAAGACTGAAGTTAAGATTTAATGTCTGTCTTCTGTTGCAAAAGGGGAATAATTTTGTTTGCTCCTGCATCATCAAGTGCTTATAATACAGACAAAGTCATTTAAATACTTCAAAGACTCAGAATGGCCTTCATATTAATACTATTACTACTTAGTATCAGTAGAAGGACAAGCAGACAGGAAGAGCTAACAGACTGCAGAGCTTTCTAGAAGAAACTCAAAAGCAGGTGTTGCCGCCCTGCTTCCTCCCTTGCATAATTCCACCAGACAAGGGGCATCTGACTTATACACCAAAAGGAGATTTTACTGTCAGGCAGAGAGGTGAAGGCTTTGGGGAAGCAAAAGAGACAGCTCCCCTACCAGCTGAGGGGAAGGGCGCCCTACTACAGGGACGTAACGGGAGAAAGTGGACACTCCTCTCCTAGGGAAGGTTTTAAATTCAGTGCGCAAAAGGAGAACATGCACCTCCACGGAAGGCGTTCTGGATGCCCCTGTCTCTTATGACACAGTCAGAGTCAGAACCCCTTCAATCCCCTGGGCGAAGGAAGGAGGAAAGAATCAGAGTCAGGGCCACTTTCTTCAGACAGGTCCTTCACCCCCAAAGGCCTCGCTTTCCCACTTGTGAACTGGGGTAACAGCAAGGAAGTGGCTGAGCAAACGTCTCCGACGGGGATCTAGGAGCACAAGGTCGTCTCCAGGGCACGGGGCAGAGCTGCAGAGAACAGCCACACCCCCGGTTGTGCGGTCTTTGCCCAACTTCTCCCATTACAAAGTCACGAGAGGAAAGTCCTTTTGTGAACACATGAGCTTTCGAAGCCAGAACAAAGGGGATTACTGTTCATTTATAAACTGACTTGAGCCCTCCTACTGTGCGCTGTAGGCACTCCCGAGAACCGTCCAAATGCCGACCGCTGTTAACTAGGAGAGCATCTACTCGTTCGCGGCGCTCGGCCGAGGTAACAGGCAGTACCTTCTTGGCCAGATGGACTCCCTGGATGCTCTTGATGCCCGGAGGGCCGGCCGAGTGCACGTGGGACGCCACCGGTGCGTGCTGGGGCTGCTGAAGGGCCCCCTTGGTCAGCGTCACCTTGCGGGCGGGCTGCTGCCTCACTTCTGGGGGCTGCGGGAGCCGCTGGGGCTGGCCCTCAGGGTGAAAAAAGCCGTCGCTCTCTCCTCCCTGCTGAAACAAGGCAGCGTGCTGGTCAGTACCTGCTTGGCCGGGCGGCCGTCCCCGGCATCGGGGAGTCCGCCTCGGTTAGTGTTCAACCGAGAGCAAAACTATTTCAAACAAGTGAAAAACCAAACCTGTCATTTCACTAGAGCCACTAAGGAAATTTCTCATCTGACACTGCTTGGGTTTTAATCATATTTTTGAAATTTAAAACATGAAGATCTTTAATTACTGTATCCACTCAAGAGGTCTGTGATTAAAGTGCTGTTTAGCCCAGTGAAATACTGCTTAACTTTAAAAATACTTCACACTCAACATGCATTTGCCACTTTCAAGAGTGTTCTTGTTAAAATCTGACCGTTTGCACGGGCAGGGGTTTTAAACTTTTAACCCGTCTTCAGACCTAACGCAAAGTGGACTGTCCTCAGGACGCATCTCACTGGCTGTGGCCGTAGGCCCTGGGGACATAGCAATGACCCCTGGTCCTCTCCCGCCCCCACCCCGCCTCCCGCTGAGACACAAATGCCTCACCCTCTCAAGTCAGTGATTCAGGACAGACTCGTGGGCCCTATTACAGACTTTGCAAGGATCAGAAATCTAACCTTTTGAGTTTTACTAACAATCCCTTGTTTCTTGACCTTAAAAATTGTTGAATTTCTTAAAAAGAAAACCACAGGCCCAAAATGGTGTCACTTAGAGCTCCCAAACTGGGGCTCACGGAATAATCAACCTCCCCCAGAAACGTGGTCTTCGTTGGTCAGTCAGGAAGTTTTCGATCAGCACTAAAGAGCAGGCCACAGGGGCCCTGTCTCCTCTGCATAAGACAAGCACTTTCCCCCTAAGGGAGAGCCACCTGCCTGAAACCATCCTTTTCTTTTGCCAATAACTTTCTTGCCCTCTCCTCCTTCTATAAAAATCTCCCGTTCTGTACACCTCCTGGGAGCCTCCGCTGCTTGCTGGATGGGATGCTGCCCAATTCACAAATCGTTTAATAAGCCAATTAGATCTTTAAAATGTTCTCAAACGTTTGCTACTGAACATACTCAAGCTGTACTATTTATGTTTATGATACCACCAAGCAGCATAAAAAACCTCTCCGGATGGTGCTTGTTCAGTTAAGTGCAGCGTCTCTCCAAGAGAGTAGCGGGTGACCAAGAAAGTGTGGACAGCAAGAAAATCCTATCTTGCCCTGCTAAGTTACATAATCTGAGCAGAAATGGATGCCTGCAAGTGGACAGTAAGATTCTGATCTGGACAGCACGAGGCTCCACTCCTCACGCCCACAGGAGCTCCAGCGAGCGGTCAGTGTGCGGCCTGCTGAGCTGCACCAGTGTTTCCAAAAGGAGCTGGCTGAATCAGCTCAGCAGCAGCCTGTGGATTCTGTGCCTCGCTCCCCTCTATACTTATCTTTTAGAGACAGTTTAATGGAATGGAGTGAAGGGACAGGGGCTGGAGCAAGATAGGTGTAGATAAGATTTGTGTAAAAACTGCCCAAAGTAATTGGGACCCAAGAGAAATGGGATGAAAACTGTCACCTGTGGCAGGGCTTCTGGCTACGGCAGCATGAAGGGGATGGCAAATCCCCCTCCCTTCCCCCCGCAAATAAATATCTGACAAAACCATCCAGAACAAGCACTTCAGGTCTCTGGGAGTCAACGAAAGTGAAAAGAATCAAGGACCAGCACCTACTCCTGAGACCTGGCGTGCAGGGCCGCAGCCCGGGCCGCCACGGATGGCAGACCTGAGAAGCCTCAGAAGCAAACTTGGGGGGAAGGGAATGAGGAACACCCACCAACCTGTCAGCCCGGGGCCTTTCTGGAACAATAGCAGACCAGCCAGTAATCGGAAAACCACGATGGGAAATCCTGGAAATCAAAGAGCTCCAAAAGGCCTAGGTAAGTGCCAGGGAGCCAGGGAAGCTCACACGGGTAGGGAGTGGGTAGGGAGGACGAGCAGAGGGGGGCTCTGAGGGCCAGTGCCCACCCCCCCACAAACCACTGGCTAATCTCTTCCTGAATGACTGTCTGGCCAACCAACAAGCTATGTAGCAACATGGTCAACCCCTAGGAAGCCAGCTAAGAAATGGAGTAATAAAAAAACTCATCAAAAAATATTCTGAACTGAATAAAAATACAACAAATCAAAATCTAGGGGATGCAACTAAAGAGTTATGTCAGAAAGGAAAAAAAACTTGAAATCAATAACCTGAGCTTTCATCTCAAGAAGCTAGGGGAAAAAAGGGAAATCAAACCCAAAATACGAGGCAGGAAACGATAAGATCACAGCAAAGAGCAATGACACAGGTAAGAGAAAAACGAGAGAAAAATCAATGAAACCAAAAGTTGCATTTTTGAGATCAACAAAACTGATGACCTCTAACTAAACTGATCAAGAAAAAGGGAGAGACAGGGCACAAATGACCAAAATCAGAAACAAGAGAGCAGAGGTCATCACGACAGGCCCCACCAAAATGAAAAAGGACGTCATGAACAACTTTATACCAACAAGTCAGGCCGCTGAGGTGAAACGGACAGACTGCAAAAGAAATGCAAAACACCAAGACGGATTCAAGAATGAGGAGAAAATCTGAAAATCTGAGAAGACACTGAATTGGTAATGAAATTACCAATTTCATTCACTGTTTCAGGAAGAAGAGAGGAGGAGGAAGAACCTTCCCACTCATCCTCTGAGGCCGGCACGACCCGGAGAGAAACGCTGAAGACCTCACAGGAGAGGAAAGCCGCCAAAGCATACCCTCACAAACGTACGTGAAGAAAGGTCCCTACCAAAATATCAGCAACCTGACGCATCCACACAGAAAAGGGACCGCGCCCCATGCCCTAGCAACACTGACCCCAGGAATGCAAGGCTGGCTGGACACTGCAAAACCAATGAATGTTACCGAGCCACATGATCGCCTGCACTCGTGTAGGAAAAGCATGCCTGATTAAACCTCTCTACAAACGAGGGACAGAAGGAACCTCTGTCAACCCAGAAAGGGCATCTACTACAAATGGGCAGGTCACATCATGCTTGGTGAAGACGAATGAGTGCTTTCTCCTAAGGACCACTTGTATTCTCATTGCCCCGACTGGTCAGGGACACTCAGTTTACCTACCAGTCACCTGGGGAGAGTTCTAATCTGAGCCATCCTGGGCTTTAATCCAGAATCCATCCAATTAGACCCTGTGGAGCTGGGACGCAGAAAGGAACGTATTTTAAAGGCTCTGTGGGTGATGGCTGTCCAGCGAAGGCTGCAGATGGCTGAACCAGACAGGGGTCCCCCGTGCTCGGACTCTGTGCGTCCATCAAGTGCATTACCACCGCCAGCTGACAGTCACTCCGACCTCACAGAGGAAGACCCCCAAATGACAACGGAAGCACTGTGGGAAGATCACCATCCACAGAAATGTTTAAGATGCTAGTCTGTGTTTCTGAAAGCTGTCCCACAGCTCTTCCACCCAAGGTGTGAGCTGGTGCCCGAGCCAGGCAGGGGCCGCCTACTCTAGCTGCATAATGTTTCAAAGTCTTTACCTTAAAAAGCTATGTGACCTCTATTTTTGGATATGCTTGAATTCTTTTCTTTGGGGAGGGTGCAGGGAGGGACAGAGGGAGAGAGAGGGGGAGAGAGAGAATCTCAAGCAGACTCCACACCCATTGCAGAGCCCGACACAGGGCTTGAGCCATGACCCTGAGAACATGACCTGAGTGGAAATCAGGAAATCAGACACTTAACCGACTGAGCCACCCGGGCACCCCTTGCATTTTTCTAGGCCATAAAGTTCAAACATTTAAGGACATATACCACATATCCTCACCTTTCTCAAGAGCCAGTGATCCATCATTTATTAATTCATCTAAAATCCTGAAATTCTGTTAGTATAGGATTCACAGATCTCCTATGCATATGTTGAGTCAGGCAGTCCTTAGTAACATTCCTCTTTTTCCTGGGAGCTGACACTTCACACTAAGCCCCAGGCCCCACAAGAGGCTGGGTGTTAGGTACAGGCAGGCCCAGCTCAGCTACACAAGAGTCTACCGACTGACTCTCCAACTTCCACCCTGTTCACCCATGTGAATGAATGAACTGGCTAGGTACTGGTTAGCTCTATGGGAAAGCCTTCCATTGTAGGGACTTCAGGGGTCTAAATAAACTCCCTGGGAGCCTACCCGACGAGGTAAAAGTTCAAGGATCCCTAGAGCATACACTATCCTGCAAGCATCCACAGAAACCAGAGGTTGAGACCCTATCATCCTGTTTTGCTCACCAAACCAAAATTTCTTGTATACATCAAAGGTACTGAGGTTACCTACTGAATGAATCAATAAATAGTGCATCAGACTTTTAAAAACTGAGTAGTTCTCAATGTGCTAGAAAAAAGATGATAGGATCAGGAACTCTAGGTTACAGCCACCGCCAATTAGTACACCGGTATTTACTCAATGTCACCATGATACTAAAGAGGCCAGCTTCCAAGGCCACAGCACTGTCTTGTGCATCAGAAACGATTATGCCACGTTGCAGAACAGATAATTAGCCGGTATGAACAGCCTAAAAGGGATGATGTCCATATATACCATAGACAAAAAGAACAAATATTGTCATCATGTTTTTCTTTAGTAAGCCGAAGCTAAAAACATGATCTAGATAGTGAACTTTAATTTAAAAAGAAGAGCTTGCACCAAAAGTTAAGATATTATAACTTGATGGGGCGCCTGGGTGGCTCAGTCGTTAAGCGTCTGCCTTTGGCTCAGGTCATGATCCCAGGGTCCTGGGATCAAGCCCTGCATCGGGCTCCCTGCTCGGCCAGGAGCCTGCTTCTCCCTCTCCTGCTCCCCCTGCTTGTGTTCCCTCTCTAGCTGTCTCTCTCCCTGTGTCAAATAAATAAATAAAATCTTTAAAAAAAAAAAAAAAGATATTATAACTTGACTATTTTGAGGGAGACAATGTGTATACCTATTTGGATGACAAATATACAACACTGGAGATTTGATGGTTTTTAAACTGC